TTCAAGCCAAAACGCATTACTGCTTCACGGCAGAGATAGGCAGGGTGGTGGTACCTACCCGTTCGGAATCACAAGAGGTCCTACCACCAGTAATTACACAAATCATAATTTTGCGGGTTTGATTTTTATTACACGATGTTATTCCTTTACCGTGGAATTCAATCATGAACATTTCTTAAGCACGTATTTCATCAGAAAAATTGGTACCCGCCTGGGATTCGAACACCGGTGCATCGCTAGATACGAATGCACCGGACATCTTATCCTTTAGGCAACGACGACTTCCATTTAGGCCACGACCACTTCCAAAACTAGGAACGAATGTAACTCCTAACTATTTATAAATATGTATATCTTTTTCAATTTATGTTACAATTACAATTTCCATTACATTATAATTCCTACCTTTTCTCAAGTTAAACAATTTCAATATTAAATAGTTCAACTTAGTTCATATTAGTTAGTTAGATTAGTTTAAATTATCGCTTCTGTTGGGCGTTCTTAGACGCACAATTTTTTCCCCTTTTTTATCTATAATATAGACGGCAATATCGCTATTGCTCCGTATTTAAAGCTGAGGCCCTTGTCATTAGTATTGTTACGCCGGTAAGAGTAACGCCATCTGTCGTCGAATAGTCGAACGAATATCAAAGGATCTAGTAACATCTAGAACGCTCGAGAAGTACAATGCCATCTATTGTCAGATAGCGGAAACACACAATACTCGACTTTTGTGAAATATTCTCGACGATTCTAGGGATTTCGTCTCGACTATAAAAGCGTTGCAGAGATGGTACGCAGTCAGTTAGTAATCGGAACTACTCGAAGCAAAACAGCGAACGGATCACCTGAAGCGAAGCGGAAAAAGTGAATTTAGAATTTTAAAGTGTTTGTTGAGTGTTTTAAGTGTTGAATACAGTTTTAAGTTGTAGGTACTTTGGTGGAACATTTATTTATCCCGAACCCCGACGCGTAACAATACACTTTAACGGCTAGTGTTATCCTTCAAAACGAAACCCAAGACTGATTCGTCTCAAGATGGTACCTACCTACCCGTGATTGCTTAAATAACGCCTTACCAAAAACCGACTGACCTTTATTCCTTACCACCAGTCCGTCGATATCGACGAAGACATTTGTCAAAATGACAACAAACGTCAAAGTCAACAGTAACAAACTCACGCAGAGCACCCTGTAGAATAAGCTGTCTTGGTCGCATCGTGCCATCGGTGTTATATACAGGAGGATGTTTTTTGTCTAAAATCGAATAGTTTTAATGAATGATGTGCGTGCATGGAGCCATGGAATCCGTGTTTGATGCCTTAGATAAACATTGCATTTATGTGTTACGCTTGCAAAACATATGTGTCCTGACGATCTTAATTTGAACGTGGAAGGATATGAATTGTTTTTCTTGTTTCTTTCTCTACACTCATACATTGGTAGCCTAAGGGGTTGTTCCAGCTATGCTATGTCAAGTAGGTGACCACGGGCCTCAATCTCAGAGATATGCTTCGGGCGACGGCAGCTTTGCGTTGCTCCGTAACCTGTGTCGGATAGGTTTTAGGGGCGGCCACGATAAAAGGGTTTTTGTGTTACGCCGCTTTTTCAAAGTACCATCCTGACGCTTCTCTCTCTGAGAGAGACGGACGGAGAAAGAGAGAGAGAGAAATAGATTTATACCATTAAATATATAACATATTTTTGAATATAAGCAGTATGAATAAAGGATAAATAAGTAAATAACGTTAAGCGAATAAGTTATGTTCCTTCACCATTATTAATCCTGCGTTATGGAAGTCGATCGTAAAAATGAGTTAAGTAAGTAACTATTTCATTGGTGTCTTGGCTTGGGAAGATTTGAACACACTTATATCCCACAACACTATAAATATAGACGGGAGAAAGCGAAATTATTGTCGTAGCTTGAAAAAAACCCTAGTATATATCGGTGTAATAAAACCATTTCAAAAATTCATAATTCATATTACCTACACAGGTTTATAGAGATGGAAAGTTGATATTTGGTGGGAGGTTTGATGAAAAGTTATTATGAAAAATCAAATCGTAGGAAAATAAGATCGAGAACATTCGAAGCGATATTTTATAGTAGTTATTTGTAGATTTGTAATAAATTTTTATCGCATTCTTGTGAATGTGGTAAAAATCAATTGGTTGTCTGTAAAGTCGATTTACTCAGTACCAGAATTATTCGAACTACTAGCTCTGAACTTACGCGAGAAGAGAGATAAATATGTCACAAGCCAACGCTTGGGCCGATCGTGCTTCTCTATCGCTTGTTCCGCGCTCTCGCTCGCACGCTCGGGCTCAGACGGAACGTGACACTTTTTCGTGCATGCAGCCGATGTTCATCGATTTTTAAGACGTTGTCACGTCAAGAGTGATATTACCCAAAATGCAAGTTACGAGGTTTGCGCTTTCTCGCGATATGTACCCAGTGTATTTATTATTAGGACATGACGACTTGTCATTTAATAGAATTATATTATTTAATAATTAATTAACAAACTATATCAAACTTCATTAAATTAGAATTGAATTAACACGCTCACCTCCGTCAATCTCTAAATCGTGATAAAACTCGAAAAAAATCCATAGTTTCTAAATAACGCTTCTTTTTGGAAGCACTGAAAAAAAAAACTCGGTCGAAAAATAAAAATAGCAAAACGGATAAAAAACAACATTTTAAAAACAACATTTTTATCGACACGACGCCCAACGTAAACAATGTAGTGATGCGAATCGCTTGAACTGTTATTATCGATACAATACAGTTTTTTATTAGGAACTCACCAGTCGATATTATGTGTAATTTTCATGAATATAATTTTTGAAGTCGTCGTGGCCTAAACGATAAGACGTCCGGTGCAATCTTATCTAGCGATGTAACGGTGTTCGAGTCCCGCAGGCGGGTACCAATTTTTCTAATAAAAAATGTAGTTAACAGATGCTTACGATTGACTTCCACGGTGATGGAATAACATCATGTAATAAAATCAAACCCGCAAAATTATAATTTGCGTAATTACTAGTGGTAGGACCTCTTGCGAGTCCGCACGGGTAGGTACCACCACCTGGCCTATTTCTGCTGTGAAGCAGTAATGCATTTCGGTTTGAAGGGTGGGGCAGCCGTTGTAACTATATTTGAGACCTTAGAACTTATAACTCATGGTGAGTGGCTCATTTGCGTTGTAGATGTCTATGGGCTCCGGTAGAGGCTTAACACCAGGTGGGCTGTGAGCTCGTCCACCCATCTACACAATAAAAAAATGTATTAAGGCCCCATGCGCTGGACTGATCAAGTGAAAATCTTTACCAAAACCCCACTTAACGAGTGCGCACGCCCAGCCTCAGTTCGCTAGCTACGGAGAGTAGCTGCCAAGGCTATAAAGAGCCAGGATTCCACATGACCACCACTGCTCTACCAAGAGTAACGGACTATGATGACCATCAACATACGACAGGCGACGTACAATAGCTGCCCGCTGAGTTTTTTACAATGCAGCAATGGTTACTGGAGCCCATAGACATCTACAACGTAAATGCCGCCACCCAGCTTGAGATATGAGTTCTAAGGTCTCAGTGCAGTTACAACTTGATTTTCTCAGGTGCTCGCAAATCCATTCGGAGGCATACTCGTGACGCAGCAGTGCTTGAGCTTTCAGACCTCTTTCAAATGCTCTCAGGCAGTCTCTAAGCCTTCTCTTCTTCAGCCCGATCCTGTATTCTCCCGCTCCCTGTACCCAAACAAGTAAATTTCCTTCTTTCACAGCAAGACTTCAAAATCTACATGCGTACTACTGAAGTGAAACTTCTAATGCGACTTCCAACAAGGTTGGTAGGCAGCGGCTTGGCTCTGCCCCTGGCATTGCTGAAGTCCATGGGCAACGGTAACCACTCACCATCAGGTGGGCCGTATGCTCGTCTGCCTACAAGGGCAATAAAAAAAAAAAGGTTGCGTTAAACGTTTAACGCTACATTGGTGCGTTGCTCTGGATTCGACGAGCAACGCGCCGCCCTCGTCGCGGTCATAGGAGAGGACCTCTCGCTGCCGCGCGTCGTGGCTACGATGCTCGGCAGCGACGCGTCCTGGAAGGCGATGCTCGACTTCTGTGAGTCCACCATCTCGCAGAAGGAGGCGGCGGAGCACGAGAGGGAGAGCTCTTCCCTTTCCGCACGGATCCGTCGCCGTCGAGCCGGAGGCCGAAGGCGGGAAGCCAGCGCGAGCGTTAGCAACGAGTAGCGTCCAATACTTCAATGAAGTATTTAAAAATATGTATATCGATGCTTGAAAGGCAAACGTGACTAAGCGACAATACGTGAACTTTACAGTAGACTAATTTAAAGTTGTAATTAATTTAAAATATACCTGAGAAATACCTGAAAAAAAATATATTTTAACATATCTAGCTGTAGGATTGAAATGATTTTAATAAACCTAGAAATATATTGTTTTTGCGCATTGAATATGGTTATTGCCTATCCTTTATGTACAAAGCAGTTATTGTCGCTTAGTCACGTTTGCCTTTCAAGCATCGATATGTTTATTTTCCTATTTATAATTTAAAATATATACAAAATAATTGTTGAAGATGTCGCTTCTCTTATACACAGCATTCCCTATTAAAAAAGCAATCTGATTTAAGGATGAAAAATGAAGAAAATCAAAATACTACAACACATCGAAAAAGAAGTTTCACTTCATTCACGTGTATCAAGTTGCACGCGCACCGTTTTCATTGCATTGTTCTAGTTAGTTATGTATAATCGAAGTTTTGACTTTAGTGGTGAAACACATTCATAGAATGACAAATACTCTCCAAATAAATGAATCGATAAAATAACAAAAATCATTAAGAACAGCACTAAAGCAATCAACTTTTTGTTTACAAATAAAGCACAACACTAAAAGACGGAAACCGCTGGATTCCATTCATTTCTCGATTCGCGTTCACGATTGAAATGTCACAGCTTTAGTGATGTCCGCACGGGTTTTACTATTGACAGCGTTGTTGGTAATCGACAAAGTTTCGGCGCATTACCTCCAAGCCGAACCGAATTATTTGAAACCGAAACTGGAGAGGAATAACGTAGTGAACAAAGGAGTTTGGATGAGGAAGGACTTTGACCGAAATCTGTACGGTAAAGCCAGCTTGACCGACTTCATTTTTCGACCGAATTCGTTGGAGAATGACGCGGAGCACCTCGATTTTGACGCGTTTAATCAGAATTCTATGCAGGATATACCGTTCTTCACGACTTACATTGAAAGGACAAAGCGATCGCCAGAATGTAAGTGGCATTGGACGATAAATCCTTTTTTTTGCCTTAGATGGGTGGATGAGCTCACAGCCCACCTGGTGTTGAGTGGTCATCGGAGCCCATAGACGTCTACAGCGTAAATGTCGCCATCCACTTTGAGGTATGAGTTCTAAGGTACAACGGCAGCCCCACCCTTCAAACCGAAACCCATTACTGCTTCACTAGTAAATAGGTCCTACCACTAGTAAATATAACAGTGTAAAGTATTCTTCGAAATATCGGAAACAATAGGATGACGGTAAAGAAAACGAGATTAAGCCGTAAAAATAGTTTTGATTATGTCTAGGACTCACTAATGTTGAAGAAAATACTACAAGCGTCTTTAAATCGAAAGGTGAAAGGCTATTTTGTTTAAGAGACATTTCTATTCGTAATTAAAGGTCCGTTTTATTTGGTATTAATATCCAAATTCCAAATCCATATTAATTTCCAAATGCTTCATCTTGAAATGGCTCTCCTGCAAAGTTGCAAAAATGTCGCTTAAACCAAATAGCCTTTATATCTAACCCTTGATATGTAGTCATTATTCCATAGAAATTAAAATGTATTTTTTTTTAATGGAAATTGATTTTCCGTTTTGTTGGGGTGAAATTATAAGCACGTTAAACCCTATCCATATTATCTGTAATATATTGTCACGATCCTAAATGATTCATCATCTATTTTAAGCCCCAAATTCAGATAGTTCGGCTACTTTTTTTGAACAGACTTTCATCAACTTATTAAGACAACAACTTTCATAATATGCGCTTTTTCAACATTGAAAAAACTTTAATTGCCTAAAGTGGAGCGTATCCAGAATGTACTTATTTTCTGTATGTCTAGTCGTTCTTCTTCTAAACATTTTCTAACAGAACCAATGACGAAATGTGTTGCCAATGGTCAATTAAAATTAAATTGGAGTCCTTTTGGAAGTGAAGCTATGTAGACTAGTTTATTTTCACAATTGAGCAGCGGCGAACAGCTTGGGAGATTTATTAGGAGTCACAGTTGATAATTTAGAATTTTTGTGACTAGGAGATGTATGGAAATGGTAGTGTAAGGTAGAGGGGGAAGAGGTCGACCGAAGAAGACATGGATGGAGTTTTTGAATGAGGATATGAGAGAGAGAGGAGTGAGTGTTGAAATGATGTCTGTTAGAAGAGAATGGAAGAGAAAAAATTGCTGTGCCGACTCCACCTAGTAGGATAAGGTGGAGAAAAAGAAGAAGAGTTGATAATTTAGAACTAACTTTTATAAATTCATTTTAACTTTACAGATTTACGAAAACGACATCCTAGAAAGAGTTTAAAAGATTGCGTTAATAAAAAAGATTGTCGCACAAAGAAAAACTCCGAAGACAAATCTGTTGTTGTAGAATCCATGTTCATTTCCGATATGAAACCTAACTCTATATTTAAAGAATATCCACATGAAGTGGCTTTGTTACTCAACGATAACAATAAACAAGGAGATCTTAATATAAAAACATTGAACAGCACTAATAATAATCAATCTGATAATAAAAAGGAGAATAGTGATGCTAAAGTTGATGATGATAATAAAAGTCCTAAAAAACGCGAAGATAATGATTATGTAATTAAGAGCAGTAATGATTTGTTCGAGAATAATGGTGACGTGAATCCCAGAGGTGAATACAATAAGTATGCTTACGAAACAGATGGGAGTTGGATACAAAATGCACCTATAACTAAAAATGATAGATACAGTGTTATTCCGAAGGAAAAACCCAAATTTACCGAAAAGGGTCTGGTTAAAGTCATATCAATGTTGACTAAGACTTTCAAAAAGATTATGAAACAGCACAACGATATCAAAATTATTCACCAAAAACTGAACAACTTGAACGATGATTTTTTGAAAAACGTCGAAGATATAACCAATAAGTTTCGTGAATTCGATACAAAATTCACTTATTTGACGAAATTCAATGAAAAATTAAAGAATTTCGAAACGAATCAATCGAAGAAGGACGCCGATCACGAAATCAGAGCCCAAGAAATAAAAAATAAGCTAGCCGAATTCGCCGAACACCAAACGAAGTTTTTAACCCAACAAAAACAGTTCTTTTCGTTACAAAAATTAATATTAGCGCAAAACGAAAAAATAACCACGAGACAGAATAACATAGCTAAAACCCAAGCAGAAATATCACAGAGACAAAACAACTTTGCTAGAATACTACTGAAAGCTAAACAATTGATCGTGGACAGCAAGAAGCCAACTATAACTCCTATTAATACAAATAACCCAAATACCATTAACGAATCGACAACATCAAAAGTCGATATAGTAAAAATCAATTTACTAAACATACCAGCGTTTCGTAAGATAATTAACACAGACGATTTCCTTATAAAAGAAAAACACAATCCAATAGACGAACTTGTATACAAATACTACTTTAACAATACTTTCATAGATAATATCATGAAGACAAAAATTCTAGCTGCGACACTAGATAGAGATGTAAGGCAGAACAAAACTAAAAGGAATAATGATTTATCAACAATTTTACTGCCCGTAAAGCAAGGTGAAGTCGTACGCGATAAGAGGTGGATTCAGGAACCTAAAAACGGTGTTATTAAAATGGCGAAGCTCGCTAAAGCTCCATTCGTTAATTTGGCAACGAAATTCTGTAATCAAATTGGACAGAACGGTGATGAAATTAACCTGAAATGGTGCATAGAAAAAGTATTAAGGAGGCTTCAGCATATCGGTAAGCTTTTTGTTTCGAAACATTTGCATAAGTTCTATTGAGATTTATCTCGACTTTGCTTACAGATTGAAGCTGCAATGTAAGCACGTTTTTCCAATTAGTTTAATACAATTAAATAATTTACTTTACAAATAAATCAAACAAAAATAAAAACCACATTGGATACTGTACAAAGGTCCTACCACAGACCTATTGAAAATGCATCCGATAATGGTAATTGGATAATGGAAATTCATTTTCTAAAGATATGTCTTCAGTAAAATAAAGAGGGAAAGAGAATCTTTCTCTCGCACATCAATGGTGGTGATGTCACGATGTGTAAAATTCTGGATTCTTTAACATTTATCACTCTAAGTCAGTTACTTCAGCGGACAAAAATTTCTCCTACCTCACGACATATTCTTGTTTAGATCTTTGAAAAGTTAATAGAATCCATAGCCACTTGACTGTTCTCCTGGTATTATTGATATCCATAAACCACGAATACCACCACCATCAAGAGTACTCGACTGCAGAGGCGCCTTTTCCTATGACACAGGGTGTGGGCGCAGTGGGTCTTAGAAGGCGCAGGTCTTGGCAATTACTCATTGAAATTGCCAATTGCTTAGTGCGAGTTTTTTAACGGCTCCGTCACGTAAAGCTTCCCTTCGTTTGCCGCTAAGGACGCTGTTCCAACTACATACATATTTGAATTAGCTTTTACGCGATCGAGAAAATAAAAAACTCGCACTAAGCACACTGTTACATTTGTGGGGACGCTCATTAGAGGACGCTAGTGTAATGATTGCATACGGACGCTGAATGGGCTAGAGATGAATTGGCTTGTTTATCAAACTAGAGCTTTAAAATTAACTTAATTGCAGATACGAAAGTCCTGATCGGGCCCGTTAAGTCGACCGCAAAGGAAAATGCCATTCAAATCGCTAGAAGTAATGATAAATCTGGTCGCGTTGCAAAGGATTTCCCAAGCACAGTTGCAGGTTAGTTTGTTTGTCATGTGCTTGAAGTCAGCGTGGCCTAAAAGTTTAGACGCTGTGCTTGTCAAACTGTACGAATCTCCCAGTGTTCGAATCCCGCCGGCACATACCAATTTTTATTTATTTATTTATTTAGTTATTATATACTAGAGGTCACCCAGTAGTCGAAATTCGACTATAATTATACAAGAAATAACATTCTGCACACCTTCTCTATATTTTCTATAAGTGTGGGAAATTTCATGGTTCTCCGTCTGGGCAATTTTTGTAAAAAGGGGTACAAAGTTTTTACTTCACGTATTAATATACCTATACATAATTATGGAGAGTTGAAAAGCTATTTGGTATAAGCGAAATGTCCGTATAATACGTGACATTTACCTTCGTAATTAAATGTGCGCTTTATTCAGTATCAGCATCAACAGTTCGATGATTTTAATTAAACCTCAATTAAGTTTACTCCATTCAAATACACGAAGAAGTTTTTGAAGTGAAACTTCTTTAGAATCGTTGTGATTTCAAACTCGATGAAACGAAAAAATAAATCCATAGAGACACAAACACATAAATGTATAGGATTCAGCCGGCGAGAGAATGAGACAGAACACATTAGACTCAGTGTAGTGTTTCTTCAAAACAGCGCCATCTATGAGATTTTTTAATTCTAACATCGCTATGAAACCTCTTGTGGGTAGTGAATTTTAATTTAGGATTATACGTGAAGTTAAAATCTCAATTCACAGAGGGCGCTACCTCATACTACAAAAGATGAGTTACAATTATTTACTCATGACAAAATTTTACATAATATACATTTAGGATAATTGTATTTTAATTTTTGAAGGTTTCAATTCTACAACGAGTGAATTGCACATATGTTTTTTTATTTATTTAATTGTGCTCTAAGGTTCGTCATCTAATTTTTTTGTACCTATAACCGTCTCATTCTCGTGTCAACCGACGTCAAATGTGTGTATGAAAATTATAAAATTCGCATTTAATTCGCACAGAGACGACTTCCACTACAAAACGCTTGATGGAAACCACCCAGACGCCTCCTACGCAAATGCAAAATTTTCCAGGTAAGTCTTCTTATGTTATCTTCTTCAACCCGTGTCCTCTCAATGATGATCTCTTCAAATGCCCTCCATTCCTTTCGATCTCTTACATTTCGCAACCAGTTCCTACCAGCTATTTTGAGCAGCACCAAAAACAAATTCCTTATACGAATTCTTTTTTTTTTATTGCTTAGAAGGTTGGACGAGCTCACAGTCCACCTGGTGTTAAGTGGTTACTGGAGCCCATAGACATCTACAACCGTAAATGCGCCACCAACCTTGAGATATAAGTTCTAAGGTCTCAGTATAGTTACAACGGCTGCCCCACCCTTCAAACCGAAACGCATTACTGCTTCACGGCAGGAATAGCCAGGGTGGTGGTACATACCCGCGTGAACTCACAAGAGGTCCTACCACCAGTAGGCGAGTTCTCGCGATGTTTCTCCTATAGTGGCCCAAGAAACTCTTTTAGGGTTCAATCACATATCGGATAAATATCGGACAAACCATTTCGGAAGCCCGTCACAGCATTAGCGTCACAGGATCTAATAATATGCATATGTAGCCTGTTTTAGTACCAGAGCTACGCGAGCCAATTGCTTTTTAAGACGCCTCTATTAGCTCGGTGTGTATGTATGTTTGTTTGTATGTAATGGAATCTTTGAAGGTCTTTATCACCGACTTCTAGATATCTGATTAAATTGACAATTCGCGCACGCGTCAAGGAGCGATTGCGATACATCATAGATAATACACATAAATTAGTTATAGATAAGCAACTCAAGCACTCGACAAAAATGTTTACGGGCATCGGCCACTAGATGGCTTCGCTTCGATTAGTTTCTCATTGCTCCTGTAGATGGCAGTGATATATTACCTATATAAGTATTTTATTTTTAATGAAGGATTTTGTAAATTTTCCGGAACCGCAAATCGATAAAATTTCATCAATTTGTTTATAACAAATAAAAAGTTGTAAGATTTATTAATTTTGGTATTTTCTGTGTTTAGTTACACAATAATTAAATGCTTTAACTTTAACAATATATAAGTTTAGGGGCATCCGCTACAAGATGTCGACAGTTTCCATACAAGTTTCATGGCTCTGACAAAATTTTCATTACGATTCACCCTTATTCCGACAGGTATGAACATCAGTTAAGGTAGAATGATATCTACCTTAGATTAAAGGGGTAGTATGAAGTTATTACTTCGGTTTGGTGTTAAGGCCCGTTTAAACTACATTCATTGCTCGTTCAGTTGGCTGAACGGGCTCACGGTTCATCTGGTGCTAAGTGTTTACCAGAGTTTTTTGTCCAATCACAAAAAATCTGCTAACGACGGCAATTTACATGGATTTGTGATTTTTGAGAATCATGGAAAGCATTCTGCAATAAATCGAAGGGTGAAGGCTATTTATATTACGTATTTAAAGTTATCATTTTAATATTTTTTCAGATAACGAAGAATTGGAATCTAATTTAAAGAAATACGGTGAGTGGACCTTTATACTTTTATTGTTGTCATGTCGGCATCTTCCCGTCACAGCGTGTTTCCTTATAACTAACCGGTAGGGTGTTTCGTGGGATAATGTTTTTAAAGTTCTTTAAATTGTACTTTAACCCTTTGACTACTATGTAGGTCACCGGTGCCCTACGCGGCGCACTGAAGTAATTACGTCGATTTCTGTTATTAGGGCGCCGGAATATGTAGTTCTTCTCAGTTGTTGTTTGAAGTCGTCGTGGCCTAAAGGATAAGACCTCCGGTGCATTCGTATGTAGCGATGCACCGGTGTTCGAATCCCGCAGGCGGGTACCAGTTTTTCTAATGAAATACGTACTCAACAAATGTTCATGATTGACTTCCACGGGGAAGGAATAACATCGTGTAATAAAAAACAAATCTGCATAATTATAATTTGCGTGATTACTGGTGGCAGGACCTCTTGTTATACCGCATGGGTAGGTATCACCGCCCTGCCTATTTCTATCGTGAAGCAGTAATGCGTTTCGGTTTGAAGGGCGGGGCAGCCGTTGTAACTATACTGAGACCTTAGAACTCATATCTCAAGGTGGGTGGTGCATTTACGTTATAGATGTCTATGGGTTCCAGTAATCACTCAACACCAGCTGGACTGTGAGCTGGTCTACCCATCTAAGCAATAAAAAAAACATATTCATTTTGCAGATCTGAAGCCGGATCTCGAAGGAAACGTCTACTTCGATGGCAGTGTTCACACCAGTCAAATAGGTATTTAACAATAGCATATCCAGATGATTGCATCGCTTATAATAGCAAACACTACTGGAGCAGAAAAGGTCTTCAATGGAGGCCAGATGGAGCAATGACTTGGGTGAGGTGAGAGGCCTAGAGGAAAGTGGTCTGCCCAGCAGAAGCCCATGGACTGAGGATGTGGATATTCAGTGTTTTAAGAGCATCGTTACAATTATTATATTAGACAACTAGCTTTTGCCCGCGACTCCGTCCGCGTGGAATAGTATCTTGGGCATAACGCAAAATTTTACCCCCCACTTCGTTTATGTAGAAAGTGAAATATTTTTGAAATATAGAATCTTAAGGAGCTATTTAAACCCCTATTTTGAAACATTATTTTCTGGTACTCCACTTGTATTGGTCTTACCGTGATGTTAAATAGCCTACAGCCTTTCTCAATAAACTGACTATCTAACACTGAAATAATTTTTCAAATCGGACCAGTAGTTCCTGAGATTAGGGCGTTCAAACAAACAAACAAACAAACAAACTCATCAGCTTTATAACATTAGTATAGATGTGGTATGACTGTTTGAACTACGACTTAGAACTTACGTCTCAAGTTGGGTTTACGATAACCACTTAACGTCACAAGATCGGTACGATCTAAAGGCAGTGCAGCGTTTAACTTCATCTACGGTGCTGTATTGAAATGTTGAGTATCTTTTGTTGAAACTTTTTCAGTGTCTTCAAAGGAAAGTGAGGGGTTTTCAGATATAATGCCAGGACTTGATAGCAATTCAAGAGTCGAAATGGATCCAGTGGCTTTTGGCATTCAAGCTAATAGGAGGCAATATGTGAAAAGGTATGTATGGCGTTGAGCGCCAACCGTCGATAGATCGACTCGCCATTAATGGCGTATCAAGTGCGGAGCGTCGGAATACCGACTATAGTGAAGTTTGATTATAGGTATTGGTTATCAACCTGAACGGACACATCTTAGTTCGCGCACTTATAAAGTTTTTAATAAATTAAAATCATTTATAAATAAATAACCATTTTAAATTATTTTGCTAGGAATTTAACATTGATTTTTGTATTTTTATTTAAGTTTAAAGTTTTTTGTAAGGTATTTATTATTAACTATAATACATTTGTTTGACCCAATAAACAAACAAGATAAAAACTATATTTAACGGATAATAAAATTAAAAATCTTGAAACAGTTAATTGTGTAACCATATTTTATAATCAATTAATATTTTTTTTTCAGATTTAATAATAATTTATTGAAGAGACTGAAAATTGGAATTTGAATTACGATTAAATAAAAACTAAAACATTACTGTTATAACAAAGAAATCTATAATTATATGTAATAATGTGTTAAGTTCTGTGGGACTTGTATTAATTAAGTTAAATTTGTATTATTTAGGTCCCTTCCAGCCAGCAATAAGAGATAAGTGCTAACTCAGTTTGTGGTAGCTGTTACCTCAATAATTAAAATGTCGACAAATACGTAAAATCTTTGTCGTCAGCGACCATTCAAGCCGTAAAGTATTCGAATTAATATACTAACAATAATGAAAGGCGAAAGAAAAATCGTAAAAGTACTTTGAATTAAATATTATTATTTAAAAGTATAATTTAAGTATGAAATAAATTAAATGAAATTGTTTTATAAGTATTTTAATCAAGGTTTAGAATCGCGTGTACTCACTGAATTTCGATAACACAAGACGTCACAAGACGTCCTACTCCGATCCATTAACGGTGCTTTTAGGTACCACTAGCACCGGTCACCGTCCTCGCCGAACCCGTCGCTTGCGACGAAGGGCTCGACGAGTGAATTATTATTAACCCATACACACAGCCCACTGAGCTTCTCGCCGGATCTTCTCAGTGGGTCACGTTTCCGATCCGGGGGTAGATTCTGCGAAGCACTCCTCTTTCTGGGGCCAGTGTTAGCAACACTCCCAGTTTGAGCCCCGTGAGCTCACTTATATGTCAAGGAGAAGCTGAAATAGCCTCAATCAATTTTGATGCAAAACCGGCCTATCCATAGTTTCACCCATAGATAGTAATACGTGAAGCAAAAACTTTGTATCCCTTTTTACGAAAATTGCACGGACGGAGAAGTATGAAATTTTCCACACTTATAGAGAATATAGAGAAGAAGTGCACAATGCCAATTTTTTTTTTAAATAATGCATAAAAAATACATTAAATAAATAAAGAAAACATTACACACACTACATACCATGTATTTGACGCACACACGCATGCATACTATTTATTGTCAAACTTTTGTTATTGACGTCTGTTGTCAAATTGAGATTAAATATTGTTTGTCTTTGTTAATATTTTTTATAGTGTAGTCTTGGCGAAATTTGTGATTATAGAAGTATAAAATATAATCATAATAGTGTACAAACTTACAATTCCAATTAATTAAAGTCGAATTTCGACTACTGCGGGACCTCTAGTTGTTTTTTTTAATTCAAATTCATGAAAACTTAAACCTCATTGCTCCATAATAACTATGGTAAGCATAGGCCACTTTTGCGCTGACGGCCTTAATTATAATACAATATAATATTATCACTTGGATTCCAGATTATTTACGGACTAATTGAATACTCTTAAATTACGACAAAAGGTATACAGTAATAAAAAAAAAAAACATTTCAAAGTTTATTGTTAAAATGCGAAAATTGTTTAAGATCAGATTACATTGATATAAAATTGCCGTTTTAACGATCTAAATAACAATATTTTCGTATATTTCCATATAAAAAGCTTTTTCGGAAACATTTTCAAAATTTGCTTCAGTCGAGAATAAAATTTCATTAAGAATTTCTATTTAAAAGTGGGTTTTGGTCCTGAAAGAAAAAGAAAAAAATTATATCTCCACTCATTACATGCATAAGTTAATAGTAAATAATATCAAATTTTTTTAAAGCTTGACTTTAAGCTAAGGATCTTTCATAAAGTTAACTCGTGAAGGGCTTTTAGGGGCACAATTTCATTAGCTTCCTTTGCGTCTTTGTGATCGCTTGACCAAGCAACTGAAAGCTATGTTAGCAGACCCGAGTCTTGGCCAACCCACCTGGTACAGCACGGAAAATCCCAGAACCTCTGCTCCGACCCATACTCTTCTCCATCCTGAAGAGTTTGAGGCATTTCTTTGCCCATCGACTCCGGCAGAAAGAGGCATAAAATTCCACCAATTATGCCCACAGTGCCTAATATTAGAAGGGGTATTTCGGTCGCAATGGTTGCCTGGAAGCGAAATTAATTATTTTAATTATCACATTTCAATATCGAGTGAGAAAATAAATTCACACTTGTTTTATTGTTAACATTTGTCTTTTATTGCTTAGATGGGTGGACGAGCTCACAGCTCACCTGGTGTTAAGTGGTTACTGGAGAGTTCCGACGATACCGCAATCGTCTCTCCCGTAACCACATAATACCAGGTGAGCTGTGAGCTCGTCCACCCATCTAAGCAATAAAAAAAATCATGTATATATTAATGGCGCGAATTCTTTGCGTTTGTATCCCGATAAAAAATATGTTGATGCGATTGGNTTATTGCTTAGATGGGTGGACGAGCTCACAGCTCACCTGGTGTTAAGTGGTTACTGGAGAGTTCCGACGATACCGCAATCGTCTCTCCCGTAACCACATAATACCAGGTGAGCTGTGAGCTCGTCCACCCATCTAAGCAATAAAAAAAATCATGTATATATTAATGGCGCGAATTCTTTGCGTTTGTATCCCGATAAAAAATATGTTGATGCGATTGGCTTGCCTATGAACAAATTTTAATAGCCTCACCAAATATACGATGTACGGAACCAGTATTGTTGCAACATATCCAGTGATGTGTATCAGAGCTAGGCCCTGAGCTCTGACGACGGTGGGCAGAATCTCGGCTGCGTACTGCATCCCTATATTGTAGGATATGTTGACCGCGAATCGTCCGACGATGGCTAGCGAGGCTGATTGTATACCTGGAGACGTAAAGGTATCTATATATTAATACGTGAAGCAAAAACTTTGTACTAGGCTGCACTAAAAGTATCGGGAATGGAATATTTCCACTGTTCCTGTCATATTAAAATCTTTTTAATTGAAAACTCCTTGGTTTTAAAAATCGAATACCATTTATTTATTTTAAAAAAGATTTTCGGTCTTGTCACGAGGTTTTGTCAAACTTGTTTAGTCGTTGAGAAAATGGAATTGACTCGAGAAAATTCAAGAGAATACTTCGAAAAGCAATAAATACATTTTTAAATAGTAATGTTGTGTCACTTCGTTAATTCCCGAAATTTTCAGTGCCGCCCTCGTACCACTGTTTACAAAAAATGCATGGACGGAGGAGTATGAAATTTCCCACACTTATAGAGAATATAGAGAAGGAGTGCAGAATGTTAGTAAATTTTTAAAATATGCATAAAAAATACACGAAATCAATAAAAAAACATTACACACACTACTATGTATTGGGCACACACTCACAAATCTAAGCTATTTGTTTATTGTCAAACTTTTCTTATTGCTTAAAGTCTGTGGTTAGATTGAGAATATATTGAATATTGTTTGTCTTTATTAATATTTGTCTAAAGTGCAGTCTTGGCGAAATCTGGTGATTATATAAGTGTAATTAATAGTCTGAAAATAGAATCATAATAATGTACAGACTTATAATATCAATGAATTATAGTCGAATTTCGATTACCGGGGGACCACAAGTAACAGATAAAAAGGTTATAAAAAAGATGATAAATATTGTAAATTTGTATATGACAGCACTTCTGGTGTGTGCGGCCAACGAAGATACAATATATTACATCTAAATAATTATGTGTCGAATTATCCAATGCAATTCATCATTATTATTAAATAAAAATAATAATAATAATGGTTCATTCGAAGTAAGTATCAGTTGAATGGAATATTTAAATTTATTCAACTGATAAAATTTCTTAATAATGTATTTTTATTTTATTTGCTTTCGTAATTTAGGTATGTTTCAATGATGCTATGTACACATATGGACTTCTTGTTGTTGTCTGAAATAAAATCAATCATTCAATCATCATTCATTAACATTAAATATTATAAGGTAGCGATACGTTTTCCGAAGTCAAACGTTACAGTTTTAAGGGAACGAATCGGTCATAAATGGTCCTTCGAGCCATACCAAGTGATATGTCTCCACTGCTTACCTATTCCTGAGGACAAATACATGCAGAAGCCATCAACGAATTTATATTTTAATTGCGATTAATCAACACGATTCGCTGGCAGATTTTGTCTAACCGGTTGCAATTTTGCTGGGCTGTGGCTATTTTTTGAAAGCGGTATTGGGATAATAAGTTTTGGCATACAACAACAAATATGGTGTAATGCTATTTATGTTGGAATACATGATTCAAATGAATCGAGAATTGACAGAATCAACAAACAATACTCAAAAAATCACCCTTAATTACAATATACATGTTAATTGTAATAAATACCTATTGGAACTGTGGTGGCTAGTAAGCTGAATATTCCGCTGAAAACCATTGTGCCAAAGGCCAGCCAACGTCGTCCCAAGCTGAAAAGAAGATATTTCAAAATGTCAGCTAGTCTAACAACTAAACATGCAACTTACTGGTGGTAGAACATCTTGTGATCTCGCAATGCTAAGTACCACCACCTTGCCTATTTCTGCCGTAAAGCAGTAATGTGTTTTGGTTTAAATAGTGGGGCAGCCGTTGTTCTGGAAAAACTGAGACCTTAGAACTCATGTCTCTGCATTTACGTTGTAGATGTCTATGGTGTTTGGTAACCACTTAAAACTAGGTGGGCCGTGAGGTCATCCGCCAATATAAGTAATAAAAGAAAGTAGCATCTCTAATCTCATTAGGTGTAAAGTAATTTTTCGATTGGCAAAGACTCAAATGGACATTTTAGTTGAAAAGGCAGACTGACCCGCAAGGATGGATACACTGATCCTATCTATGTCTACCGCAGAGCTATAGAGACTTCCAGCTTAGCAGGTGCCGTTATAAAACACATTTTCTTCAGTCAACATTGGGTTGGCTGTGAGATTGGCCACGCACGCAATTTGTAAACATTTTACTCACACATCCAAGACCAGGGTAAGCAAAACATCGGCTGGAAACTCGGTCGCCGTAGCCACAGTGAAGGTCAGGAACATGTCCAGGCCCAGAGTGCCCACATTCCTGACGTGTCCATCGAAAGCCATCGCTATTAGAATCCAAATGAACACCAGAAGAACGCTGTGCTTTCGCAATCGAGGAGTCTTGAATAGATCTAATACGCTGTAGTTCTTACATTCTTGTTCGGCTTTTGCTATTCCTGTTGCAGTTTCCTGTGGATGGCGTTCAACAAACGGACGCGCAATGTAATTTAAACAAATGCTGTATGGCATCGTAGTACCGGTGCTGTACCGCCTCAACAAAAGGAGCGGTTAGAATTTCGAATGAATTTCTATTTTATGTCAGAAAATTTTCTCGGTTTTTATTATGGCCTTTATCTGTTTAAATGAGCATCCGGCCCACCTGATGGAAAATAGTTACGGTCGTCCATGGACATCAGCAATGCCAAGGACAGAGCCAGCCTGTTGCTTACTGTGAAGCGATTTTGATGATTCCTTTTTTTTGTTTTGAAGCTAGGCTTCTCGAGTGTCACATTTAAATGTTACCAAGATCTGACCAGTTCTGGGTTTATTCTTGATAATGCACGTTTGTTTAACTTCGATTACAATAATGATATTCTCTCATTTCATTGATGAATTTCCCGAAGTGAATCAGTTATTTTATGGTTAAAATTCTGTACTATTTGTGCGCGCGTATCGAGCGATACGACATTGCTGGAAGTCAGAACCCGCAGGAAATTACCAATTGCTTTGTGAGGAAAACTTGATATCCACGGTCCAAGAATATCGTGTTGTAATAGAAATAACAACGTTCCCTCATCACACCACTCTCTGCTTTTACACCCCAGGTCTTTTGACCACATGATAATTCCCTTCTCAACAGAAACGCAATACGTACGTGAAATTCCTTGATAATATCCTCTGGTAGTGCATTACCGTTGACCTTCGCGCACCTCATCATTATTTTTAGTGCTTCATCGATCCGTCCTTGCGATATCAACCACCTGAAACAGATTTGGTCGGGAAATGTGATATTTTAGCTTTATAAGACAAGCAATTGTTTTTTTTTAGTACGAAGGAAAACCCTAACGTAGCGACAAGTCACGTTGTGGGAATTGTTTTTTTGTGGAATGAAGGATTACTTGTGGCCCGAAAGCCCTTCCAGTTTCACCAGGACAGGTGGGCGAGCAGGCGCTAAGCTAGAAGGGAAGGGATTTGATAAAACAATTGCCCGAGCGCCTCCGGAGGAGACCTAAAAACTCAATGCCAGCTGCTTTACAAATCAAAGAGCAATCGTTTGAAGTGACGACGGTGATTTTTCGTACAGGAACGGACTTGAGTCTCTCTCTCTCTCTCTCACATACACACACGCACACACACACACACACACACGCGGTGGTTAGCAGCATTTACGTTGTTGATGTCTATGGACTTCAGTATTGACGGACTTCAGTAGGTCCGGATGATGGGGTGTAACTTGTCCCCTGATTATTTATTTAGTTTCTTTACTATTACCATGTGCCAATGGTCACCGTCGCCGTTGGCCACTAGCGATGCCAGGGGCACAGTCACAGTCCCTAGTTCAAACAAAAGGCTTCCCATTAGAGAATTCAACCAATTGTCTTTGATGCACTTTACTGTTCTACTAACCAATAGAAGTGGCTATAGATCACAAGAAAAGGCCTCAGACGGGCGCATCCTGATGCTTGACAATGAGCGTACGATTGGAGGAGGAGGGATTAAAGTATGGTAAGCTTTGTGCATTAATGCCATAAAGACCATATTTACCTGGCGCTTTCTGGTACGACGCAGCCAGTGAAGACGGCCAAAGCTAAAGGCACGCTAATGATCAGAGTATAAATCTTCCAGTCCGCGACCGCTAGAGCGATCCAGGGTAGGAGGCACGCTGCAAACGTGAAGTATACTCCTATGGACATATTCGCCACGAAGGTTCTCCATTTGAGGCCAACGTACTCCAGCACTGAAAAGACGAGACATTATTGTTTAAGAAGTTGGAGATTCCTGTGTATCATAAATCAGATATCGGAACAGCAACGCCGTTTTCTGACCTGAGCTATCGAAGTATAGCATTTTTAGATTCGTAGATGGTGGACGTTAGTGGGACCACAGTGCATTATACAACATAATTGCCGTTTCGATATGAGGTCATAGTCTTGATTGGATTGTATAATGGTGTTATTTGGTAGCAAGAATACCTAGGCAGGATGACCGTTAGCTGACGGAGCATACTGGTATGATTTTGAAAGAAGCCTTATGCCAATTCTCCAACGATTTCCTTATTCGCTTCCCGTGATACTCATAGGAAGAGCTTGGCTGGTCTGATTCTACCACACAGCCGTGTCAAGAACGTGTGCCAGTCAATCCACTTTTTCATCGCAAATAATGATATCTAAGCTCTTCAATAATGGAACTATCAGGGAAATACTATAGAAAACTTACCAACGATATACATGATAATAAAACAATTGTCATAGGCTAAGCCCACAATGAATCGGCAGAGGCAGAACGATAAAAAATCATTTGAAAACACAGTTCCGATTCCGCCAATAAATCCGGCTACATTCGTACCTGAAAAGTGACAGCGAATTATACTTTAGTTATAATAGCGATAAGGCATATTTAAAGTTCGCTAATTCGCGTTTTTTTTCTTTGCAAATAATGCTAAGACTGTTTATCGTGCATTTCTTGCCATAAGCAAGGCAAAGTCTAGCTTATCCAGCGAACTCTTTTTAAAGATGTTAAAGAAAGAATTTTCATTCACAATCGAGAAATAAGTATAGCGGTGGTGGCTGTAACTGAGAATAGTACGTGCACTGGACGAGCCATGAATTATTGCACTCCCACCACCACTGACACCTATACGGCTGCTTTACCCACATGGCTACCTTAGGAATCCACATAATTCATTAGATTGCTTGCGGCTCTAGCACTATGAGCAGGGAAAGGGAAACTGGGATCCATACTTGACGTAAAACTTAACGGGTCTTCTCAACGGTATGCGATTCCGATCCGGTAGCAGATGTATTCGCGAAGCAGCTGCTCTAGAGTCATCAAGTCTCCTTCGGAAAAGCTCTTGCAGAGGAAATTACTTGAAAAAACGCAACCTTCGTTTTCTCTGAAACTTACCCACTAGAGCTGGTATACGACCATATTTATCAGCTATCCAACCAAAGATAAATCCACCCAGTATGGCCCCACAGAAAAACACGGACTGAGCTGTGGCGGCATAGTTGTCCTTGTCACACACCCACCCTTGCTGTAAGAAAAGAAATAAACGTACTTATTTTTTATTCAATTATTAATTACATAAATTACCCGTCCGCTTCGCTGGGCATTTAAAATTAATTAGAGTCTAAATTTAAAAATGTCTACCTGTGTTGCAATTGTTTGATAAGGAACATCAGTGTAATTAAACTCCCATTTATTATGACATTTCTTGGTCGGCCATTTTGAGTTCGGCTGACGGACGCCATCTTGTAACAGTTTCGACCAATCTACATCGTAAACTTCGCATTTTGAATATTTATTGTTTAACATCGGTATGGATAGATGACGTCTGAAAAAGTGTTTAATTGAATTCAGCACATAACTCAGTCTAAGAAGTTTGCAAACTCACTTATAATTGGTCTTTTTTGCCACGTACCAACCGGCTTTGGAATTAATGTTCTTCCATGATGATTCTTGGGCAATATGACATATTCTTTTTAAAGAAAGCTTACAGAGAGTACTCATTGCGATGCTAACATCCTTGAGTCATAGTAACCACTCACCACCACGTGAGCCCTACGCTTGTCCTAATGTAATAATGGAAATGATTTGAAACATCAAATATATAAATAAATAAAATTGCAATAACTCACTTTTTGGTTAAAATTCATCAAATTAACGGTATGCAGCAGCTTGGCTCTGACCCCGGCATTGCTGATGTCCGTGAGCCACGGTAACCTTTCACCATCAGGTGGGCCCACAAGGCCAATAAAAGAAATCATCAAAATCCAACAGACGTTACATGGTACCCACTGTTCCATCAAGTCCAACAAGATATTAAAGCCTCAAGTATGTTACCGTTCAATCACGCTCAAGTTCGCCAATTCCGGGACAGAGCACCAGTGCTCCTCCGGAGTTATGGCCATGAATATCTGCCCGAAGTAGACGAACGCGAAGAAGAACGCGTAAGGTATCATCAACAAGAACAGCATGCGCTGGTACCAACCAAACTCTCCCATGTACGGCAGAAGGTCATCAAGATCCTTCAATCTGTGGCGATTAGCACCGTTTTCTGAAATATACTTTTCTGTTACTCACTTATTGCTGTAGAGAATTAAGATGAGTTCTCAAAGATCATGGAAGGTCTCAATGCCACCCCACATGCAGTACCCACATTGATGCGTAATGTTTAAGTAATTGGATTGGGAAAACAACTTAGAGCCTTATCCTTCAAACGGAACGATTTCTTTGTGGCATCAATAGGAAGTTTGGTCTTATCACCACGCAATGCACTAACACAATTACCGCCAGATATCGATTATAATACACTGGTATAAAAGTCAAAGAATATTGCAATTTATTTTCTAGGGAATTCCGCAACAGTCTTACGACACGCTAGGGAAGAAATGGGGAAGAAGCTTTTCTAGGAAATCACACATTTATCATTTAATTATGGCAGTTATCACAACAGCGGAACGAATAGGCTATATATATATCAAATTTAGCTGGATAAGATCTGTTGTCCGTTAAAGAATAAGGAAACAGGAGACATTGACTAATCACTAGTGGCAATACCCTGGTATGTTCAATGCTGGCGTTTCTGAAACATCGAATTAATTGCTTAGGGGATTGAACCAGTCCATGGCCCAGGCTACCAGAATCCATGGACATTAACGATGTAAATGCCGCCACCTACCTTATGAGATGAGTTCTAAGTCTCAGTTTTAACATTGCAACAACAGCTTCACCCTTCAAACCGAATCGCATTACCATTTCACGGCAGAAATAAGCAGGCGGTAGTACCTATCCTTGTAGGCTCACAAGACGCCTAATCACAGGTGAAGTTGGAAGTTATCGACGTCTGTAAGATTGGGGTGTTTGGTTGGATATAATATAAAAACCCATAGAGGTTACCCGTAGGCAACAAGGCATTTCACAAATAAATTATTGTGTACTAGGCGATACTTCGTGGAAAAGGATTAAGTTCTCTGACTGATGGTAAGGCCTCTTGTGAGTTCGCAAGGGTAGGCACCACCACCCTACCTATTTCTGCCGTGAAGCGTTTCGGTTTGAAGGGCGGGGCAGCCGTTGTAACTATACTGAGACCTTAGAACTCATATCTCAAGATGGGTGGCGGCATTTACGTAGTAGCTATCTATGGGCTCTAGTAACCACTCAACACCATTTAGTGAGCTAGGAACAAGTCCACCCATCTAAGCAATAAAAAAAAAATTGCGTCTACTAGTCGCGGAAGCCGAAGAAAATTGGTATTTTATAGGTTAAGGTCAATTTACCTATTCGCTCGACCATTTCCAAGTCGTTGGTAGGGTCACGGGGCGTTGGCTCCGTGCCCTGAAAGCCCCTCTCACGTGATCCCATCTCCGAAAAGAGCTCTTGCCTTATAAGACACTTTTTCCGTTTTGATTTCTCGCCACACAAATTTCAAAGATGAAGCCTGAAACAATATCCATTTAATTATATAATATGTAAATTATGAAATTATGCAATCGACTCTAACAATGAACTTAAAACTAAAAACCTTTAAAAAAAAATACAATAAGCTGCTATATTAAATACCTGTAGAACTGTTCGCAGGTTTTCAGAAATAGAAGAAAACTCAAGTAACGGACATTAAAAATATTTATTCCTTATTATTTACTTGGCTAAGACCCGTGAATAATAAATACGTACCAGCGTCTGCTGGGAAAAAAATAAAAAAATAAAAAAAAAATAACTAAAATATATTATTTAAAAGGAGACCCTTTACGCAAGGTTCCGAAGACACTGCCAGCGTTCGTCCATTGAATATCTAGACTAATTCTTTGTCCAAGGTAGCTGCCATTTAATATAAATATCCCCACGTCTTGTGGCGGTTATGTGTCGATAGCCCAATCATAGTCTGGTTAGCGTGGTTTGGTATGACCAAATGTATTTGATACGGTCTCAGCGTCCATTGTATAATTCAATGATTTTTCTTAATTCATTCATAGATATCCATTTAAACAGAATTTAAAAATATAACTAGATTCTATTGATTTTACACGCCCGATTTGCTTCGTTCGTATTATGGCGTTGACAACAAGTGTCTTGGTTACGGTAATAATATATTTAGGAGTAGAGCAATATTTTGATTTTTATTTTTAGACTTGCAGTATTTATGTTGACACCTTTATTTACCTCTCCGCGATGGTATTCTTCTTCTTCTTCTTCCTAGCATTTTTTCGATCTAGTGCTAGGGTTGGTGTATATGAAAACCGAAGGAAATACTTTTATCCTACACAGATTATTTACGTCAATTATGATAAGATCAGAAATAAAATTCGGAGTCTATGTACATTAATAAATCTAGCATCTTAGTGCTTTCACTATTAAGAAATTCCAACTGACGATGCGAAATCGAAAAAATAAATAATTCTTCTTCTTTGATTTTATTAGACAATTCAGTCCTCACGCCGCGGAAGCTGTACGCGAGGCGTACAATTATATAGAATAATTAATTGGTATTCGCTACATGCCTATTAGGCCACGGGTAATGATTGTTCTAGAATGTCAAAGCAATTGTAGTCTGTATTGTGTATTTTAAGCATTATTAGTTAGTTAGTTTGTACTGGTGGTAGGATCTCTTATGAGTCCGCGCGGATAGGTACCACCACCCTGCCTATTTCTGCCGTGAAGCAGTACTGCGTTTCGGTTTGAAGGGTGGGGCAGCCGCTGTAACTATACTGAGACCCTTGGAACTTATATCTCAAGGTGGGTGGCGCATTTACGTTGTAGATGTCTATGGGCTCCAGTAACCACTTAACACCAGGTGGGCTGTGAGCTCGTCCACCCATCTAAGCAATAAAAAAAAAAGAACACAGCCAAAACAGAATTTGTTTTTCTCTACCTATTCGCTTATAGTCTATGGGGCTATTCCAGCTACGCCCGAACGGGTAGGTGAGCTCACGGGCTCAACTTGAAAGAATTTGCTGACACTAGCCCAGTGCAAGAGCAGTGCTTTGCAAAATCTACCACGGGATAGGGATCGCGACCCACTGAGAAGATCCGGCAAGAAACTCACAGGGTTTACAAATCGTTTAGCCTAATGGTCCCCCTTTAAAGGGGCTCGCGAAGATGTGAGATTCGTCGAAGATGTCAAAAGCCGGGAGAGATGGTCAAGTGGCCTTCATACTAAACGCCCCTGCACTCTCGCCCAACACCCGATTCACGCCTGAGACAGAACCCGGGTAAAGTAGCTAGGCTACCGCAGTCAACAATGCGACCAGATCCACAACTTGTTAGAAGGTGGAATGCCTCTGAGTGGCGTGACCATTCACCCTTAGACGGGTAATGAGCCTTCGAAGCACAATAAGAGTTCCTTCGGGTCTAATCCAACAAATCAATTTCATATTTTATTTAAGATTTAAGCATTTTAATTTAAGCATAATCGTGATTATGGGTAAAAAGAAGGCGATAAAAAAAAAGGCAGATTGGATGTTATTGCTCNGTTAGAAGGTGGAATGCCTCTGAGTGGCGTGACCATTCACCCTTAGACGGGTAATGAGCCTTCGAAGCACAATAAGAGTTCCTTCGGGTCTAATCCAACAAATCAATTTCATATTTTATTTAAGATTTAAGCATTTTAATTTAAGCATAATCGTGATTATGGGTAAAAAGAAGGCGATAAAAAAAAAGGCAGATTGGATGTTATTGCTCTGAATTTGTAAACGTGACGTCATATGACGTTAATGTCATGTTTGAAGTCGTCGTGGCCTAAAGGATAAGACGTCCGGTGCATTCGTATCTAGCGACGCAACGGTGTTCGAATACCGCAGGCGGGTAGCAATTTTTCTAATGAAATACGTACATAACAAATGTTCACAATTGACTTCCACGGTGAAGGAACAACATCGTGTAATAAAAATGAAACCCGCAAAATTATAATTTGCGTAATTACTGATGGTAGGACCTCTTGTGAGTCCGCACGGGTAGGTACCACCACACCGCCAATTTCTGCCGTGAAGCAGTAATGCGTTTCGGCTTGAAGGGTGGGGCAGCCGTTGTAACTATACTGAGACCTTAGAATGTCTATGGGCTCCCGTAACCACTTAACACCAGGGGGCTGTGAGCTCGTCTATCCATCTAAGCAATAAAAAATATGTCTGTGTCGCTACAAAGATACTAATCTAGTTATCAAGTGGTCCGTTCTCGAAAATTTGATCTCTAAGTTTAGACAACGACTCAATCTGGCGACAGATATTTATTTACTGACGAGTGACGTCATTTATAACGCTGAGCTAATTAAATAGGGTTTTACATTCGCGTCTATTGTGACGTCAGGCATTCGCGTAAACAAACTGTCTGCTACATTGGATAATAGGCAAATATAAAACAGTACAGCAACTTTGTCTCTTGTGTTTATATATTGTAATAATTTAATAAGTATATTGACAATGTCAGTACAGTAGTGTTCGTTTATTTTTTATTTTATTGCATAGATGGGTGGACGAGCTCACAGCCCATCTGGTGTTTAGTGGTTACCGGAGCCCATAGACGTCTAAAACGTAAAAAACCACCTTGGGATATAAATTCTAAGTTCTCGGTATAGTTACAACGGCTGCCTTACATGAACGGCTGCATTACTGCTTCAAGGCAGAAATAGGCGGGGTATTGGTACCTACCCGTGCGGACTCACAAAAGGTCCTACCACCAGTAATCAGACTAGTAATTATTTCATTAGAAAAATTGGTACCCGCCTGCGGGATTCGAACACCGTTGCATCTCTAGATACGAATGCAACAAACATCTTATCCTTTAGGCCACGACGACTTATCTTTGTAATTAAATGTCTGTGTTATTTGGTAGGTATTAGCAACAATAAATCGATGTTTGCAATTGAACTTCAATTAATTTTACCCCATTCAAATAGCTGATATTTTTTGTTATGATATTTTTTTTCTAAATTTTCTATTTTAAATGGCTCTCGCAAAAGTGTCGTTTCAACAAAATGTATCTCTATTGAATAAATTTCAATTGTGTGTTATCTATATTTGGCTTATTTGGTTGATAACGTCACCGATCAATTGTTACATACGCTAATTAAAAAAACAATGGAACAAAATTTACGTTCTGCCTATATTGAAATACTGAGCTAAATATGGCCTAAATTTTATTGGTTTTCTTGTTGTTCCATTGAAATCGATTTATTAACGGAAATTTTATTTTATAGTCATTATATTATTAAAAGTGAAATGGAAACAACTCGTTAGGGCCATATATACCATCAGAGTACACCAGGAATATATACTAATATATCATTACAGTCGGCAGTGAAGCTGTAGAGTATTCAAAATGTCGAAAAAATGTAAAAGGGATTTAAAAAGATCCGAGATTAAACCGTAAAAATGAAAGTTAAGTTGTAGTTCGGTTATTTTTTTAATTGAATCCTTTGAATACTGTATAAACTATTATTACATATGTAGGTATGTATGTAAATAAGTATATGTATTTGTGTAAATATTTTCTTCGGCTTTCGCTAGACACAATTAAAACTGTTTTTATTTATTATAATAATAATAATAAATTTATATTTCAGAATTAAATTCCATATGAAGTGTTAGTAATACAAAAAAAAAGTACATTTTATTTATTTTACATTGACCATGGCTGATCTTGAGCCAACATGGACTTCATTCCAGTGCCTCAGTATTGGGCAGCAATAGCGACTCCCTATCGCGGCCAGGAGGCTGTTCGGGCTGTATTATTTATTACACCTCATGTAAAATTTACACTGTCGGACTTAATGCCTAAGGCATTCTCTACCAGTCAACCAAAGGTAAATAATGATTTGCGGTAAGTGACTATAATGACGATATTATTTATCTCAACAATATGCAAATAGGCAATACCTAGGCAAACTTTTGTTTTGAAACGATTACCAGAGTCCATGGACAGCAGGCCGCTGTCGGCTTCGAAAGATCTAACTCTCAATTGCGACAGACGATCCATTACTTCGCGATCACAGTAGACCAGCCAATCAATAAAAAATGCACAATTTCAACTCTCATATAAAACTCACCAATTATTTCCCGTTTATTTTTCCTTTTCTTTCTTCTCTTTTACAAAAAACTAAATTTCGAAATGAGAGACGACGACGACGAGAAATTATCTCTGTTTAACGCTCCAACGTGCGTCGAACAAGATCTTCCGAAGGCTTGTGTCTCGGAGTGAACTATGAACGCACTGATTAATTTTCAGCATTGTCATATAGCAAGCGCGTATTAAGAACACGCAAGCATCGGTCTATCGCCCACTGAGTTTCTCGCCGGATCTTCTCAGTGAGTCGCGTTTCCGATCCGGTGGTAGATTCTGCGAAGCACGACTCTTGCTATGGCCAGTGTTAGCAACACTCCCGGTTCGAACCCCGTGAGCTCACCTACACGTTAGAGTGATGCTGAAATAGCCTCTCAAGGCTATCAGCATAGGTAGGAAAAAACTTCGGTCTATAAATACAGAGATTAGTTAGTCTAACAGTCTTCTCGCAATAAAACTGCACTAGAGGTCCCGAAGTAGTCGAAATTCGACTATAATGAATTGGAATTAGCTTTGTACACTATAAAGATTATATTTTATACTTCTATAATCACAAATTTCGCCAAGACTACACTATAAAAAATATTAACAAAGACAAACCATATTCTATTCTCAATTTGACAATAGACGTATAGAACAAAAGTTTGACAATAAATAGTATGCATGCGTGTGTGCGTCAGATATATGGTATGTAGTGTGTGTAATGTTTTCTTTATTTATTTAATGTATCTTTTATGCATTATTATTAAAATATATTAGCATTGTGCACTTCTTCTCTATATTCTCTATAAGTGTGGAAAATTTCATACTCTTCCGTCCGCGCAATTTTCCTTAAAAGGAATACAAAGTTTTTGCTTCACGTATTAATATATAGATAATCTCAAAACTTACTAATTTTACAGGAGAGCGTTTTAAAGGTTTAACATGATATTTTTAATATTAATCATCTTTACAACATTTATTTTTTACCAGTTACATTATCTGTCTATTAAAGTAAGATAAAATTATGTATTAATTTTGTTAATAGTAGTCAAAACATAGGTAAATAATAAAAAAAAAAACAAAAACTAAACTGCGCTCTTTTGACAGTATTTATGAGAAAAAAACTGGTGATACCAAATGATTCCGCATATTAACTCAATTCCGAATATTTTTGGATATTGTACACTTAACTTTTAAAGCGAAAAGATGATATTTCTTTGTGCTGTTCTTAAAATCACGGAGTCCCGTATAGAAAAAATGATTAAATTTATTTTGTTTTTAGATTATTTTTTCTTTAAGTACCAATCATTTTTGTTTATACTGTGACATACTTCGATCAATAATAGTACTAGATTACGGATCAGGAACAAAAATAAGACGCTCCAGTGGCCACGTTTGCAGACACGAAAACATCTTCATTTCTTAGAAAAAAGTTTAATAATGTTAACGACTTCAGTTTATTATAAACCTTAATACTTAAACATAAAGTTTAATTACCATTGCAAAATATATGTATTTAGGTCCTTTCGTCAGAAAAAGAATATTATGGAATAAATTTAAAATGTCACTTGAACATAAAAAGTCATCAGTACAAAAATATTTATTCTAAAATGATACTTAAAGCCTAATTTATAAGGTTAAAAATATTTGTTTAAAATTTCGTGCTTATTGTATTGTGGAACTAGATGTAGTTCTTGGTATTACATTTCAATGCTCAGAACACAGTAAGTATTGAAAGACATAGAGTTGCAGAATATACATATTTGTTTTAGGTTTGTTTTGTATGGTCGCAACTATTTTTGACCGATTCAAAAAAGTAGTAGATAATATTTTACATTGCCGCTATTACAACAAATAGGTGATAAAAAATAAAATTGAATAAAGTAAAAAAAATATGAAAGGAAACACGAAACATGTTTTCCACGTATTCTTTATACAGAAGTAATTAAAACAATAATGTAGGTTTAATTACCTTTAAACAGATTCAGTTTGTTATAAAGCTGTCTTTTAGAAGTCATTTTTATATGAGCGGTTTCTTTTTTACAAATATAATGTAATCTTATATCAATGAATTTTTCTATAATCAGTTTAATTTAGGCTTATTTTATGGCTGTGTTCGTTTCCCCCAGAAAACAAATCCTTTTCAGCATATACGCTTAAAATATTTACACATACATATAAAGTTTTTTTAATACTTTTTTGCATTGATTTGCCACCACCATTGAACAATTCTAGAATTTTTATAAGAGTTCTATATTTCTTCTCCTCTTTCTTTCGCGACAATATATATCCATTGTGCACAGCGACAAGGGGCTACTAGGAAATCTACAAACAAAAATAACATTATAAAATAACAAAACTACTCTATGCATTCCCTGTCCAAGAATAGGTGATGTTTGTTACAATAGTTGGTGCCTTGTTGCAAACATTGGCCAAACAATTACAATATTCGTAAATTGTGTTTTATTTACAATATAATTGTGTTTATTATTTTATGAAAAACACTTAATAATATAAATTTACCAAAAAAAGATATTCCTTCCAAAACCTTGGTGTTACGGTGGTTTTTTACTCAGTTTTTGAACGCGCATTGCAGCGTTTTGACGTCTTAGTGTTGGCTATGATTGGACCATACTAATTTGAAATAAGACCACAAATTTATTTGTGGTCTTATTTTTCGGGCCGCTTTTGAAGCGCTAATCGCGAATCTAGTAGTATTATTGATCGAAGGTGACATATGCAAAATCAATGCATAAGGCGTTGGATACATTTATTAAAATAAAATAAAATAGACAGGGATAAAAGTTTTATGAATTTTTCCGTTTAAATTTCACTTTTCGGAAGTGTCGGATGTCCGGACGAGATCGCTTTTAACGATCAGACCGCCTATTGTACAAATGCAATATATTTGAGGTACTTGTTGACTGTTTTTCCTTCTAAACTTTCTTCTTTTTTCTTCTAATTATTTGACCAAAGCGATCAGGTCGCATTCGGACTAAAATAACAAAGGCGATGTGATCCCTAAAATGACATTCACAATCGCGATGTTCTTGACTCTGTACTGTGACCTCTTGTGAGTCCGCACGGGTAGGTACCACCACCCTGCCTATTTCTGCCGTGAAGCAGTAATGCGTTTCGGTTTGAAGGGTGGGGCAGCCGTTGTAACTATACTTGAGACCTTAGAGCTTATATCTTAAGATGGGTAGCGCACTTACGTTGTAGATGTCTATGAGCTCTAGTAACCACTCAACACCAATTAGTGGGCTATGAGCTCGTCCACCCATCTAAGCAATAAAAAAAATAGTTTTTAAGATGAGCTATGGTTTACTGTATAAATGTTTTTCCTCCGTTTTTCCATATACATTACGTTATAATATATTGTATGATCAAACAATAGTCTCGGTAAGCAACGATCTCCTATAGATGCAATTCAATTTATAAGGGTCTAATAACACGGGCTGTCTGTTAGAGTTAATGGGATGTCGTCATCGGTTCAGACTTCACATAATTTAGTGGCTTAGGAACGTTTAGAGGCGCCAATCTATACTTCTATACTAATATTATAAAGAGGAAAGATTTGTTTGTTTCTTTGTATTGAATAGGCTCCGAAACTACTGAACCGATTTGAAAAATTCTTTCACTGTTTGGAAGCTACACTAGTCCCGAGTAACATAGGCTATAATAATCTTTTTTGAAAAAATTAGGGATCCTTACTAAAACTCCAATAATGTAATCCAAGGTGTAAAAAAATTATCTAAAATATTCTTTACATCGTGTGCCCCGTGAAAACTATTGATGATAGATTAAAATAATGTACTACGACTTTGTTGAACATATTATTATTTACAAAAAGTGTCGTGACAGAATAATAATATGTCTAATTATTATAGTTATGCTGCAAAAAGTGTTCTTTTATTTTTTTAAATAAAACAACTTCAAATATCGTTGAAATTTTTGTTAAAGACCCGAGCGGAGCCGGAGTGGGCCATTATACTATATAATATATTTCTTCTGTGCGTGTGTTTGTCACTCAACTCCTCCTAAACGGCTGGACCGATTTGAATGATTTTTGATTTTGTATGCTTTTGGGTGGCGCCCTAGATGGCTTAGATTCACAAATCAGCCCGGCAGAGGGCGCTGCAGGCGGTATCTAGCTTATTTATCTTTCCTAGAAATAATTTAAATTTACTTAACAAATGTTCACGATTGACTTCCACGCTGAAGGAATAACATCGTGTAATAAAAATCAAATCCGCAAAATCATAATTTGCGTAATTACTGGTGGTAGGACCTCTTGTGAGTCCGCGCGGGTAGGTCCCACCACCCTGCCTATTTCTGTGCTAAAATGTCAGCTGGGCGGTGGGCTGTCAGCTCGTCAATCCATTTAAGCAATAATTTTTTTTTCACAGTATGTTTGATACTTAAGTTGTGTCAATTTTAATATTTTCACGAATTAACTTTTTGTCATCAGTGATGGGTTTAGATTTGAGATGCGGCGAAATTTTTTTTAATATCAAATTTCCAGAGACAGTAAATACAAGTAAAGACAAGTCTGCTTTGAAAATGAGTTCAGATTAATTTTTATAAAAAAACAATTAATAGATGATTTTAAATTTAAAATAAAAATATTGGATCAAAATTAGGTAATAAAATTTATTCTGAACTTAAGGGCGGTGAATTAAACAGGGCATAGGATGGTATCAAACCTAAATCAGTCACTATTTGTCATGGAAGTTTGTTTAAAAAAAAATTGCGCATACCACCGTTACCGCCTCTAATAGTTCTATGGTCTATGATCTCAGCCAACTGAAATGCCTCACAATGCAGACTCATCGAAGTAATTACAGTCTAAAGAGACCGACTTTAACTGGTCAAAGCTCAGATTGTTTGGCGTATTGATATGTTGTGGTTTTTTTTAATTTACCATAAATAGCTGTTACACTACTACGCAAAAGAGCTGTGCATCTTTGGTGCCCAAGGTGTGGGGCAGCTCAACACCCTAATGATCGCCAGTAGGTTGGATAGCGTCCAGTAAAAGCTCTTCCCTCAAATACAGCCCGCCGAGTTTCTCGCCGAATCTTCTCAGTGGGTCGCGATTCCGATCCGGTAGTAGATTCTACGCACTGCTCTTGCTAGAGCTAATGTTAGCAAATTCGTCGAGATTAGAGCCCCGTAAGCTCACCTACTGGCCCGGCGAGTCTAATAAAAATCCCTCAAAGTTAGACCTAATCAAAAACCTACGTCCTCGTAAGGCTCCCGGTTCCGACGGTATATCTAACCGCGTTATTAAACTTTTACCCGTCCAACTCATCGTGATGTTGGCATCTATTTTCAATGCCGCTATGGCGAACTGTATCTTTCCCACAGCGTGGAAAGAAGCTAGGAAAAAACAAACAACAAAAAAAAATGCACAATACATTCTGTCTCGAGCAGCCGAATGAGGCGGTTGTCTTTGTTGGTACTGTTGGTTAATTTACTCGCCGAGCCCTTCATCGCAAGCGACGGGTTCGACGAGAACGATGACCGGTGCTTGTGGTACCTAAAAGCACCGTTAGTGGATCGGGAGGATTCGAAATGACGTCACACTTAAGAAGAAATTTACATTACGAAATTAGTGGCGTGAAATTAATTTCGTGACATTAGTTTTACCAACAGTTTCACGTGTAATTTAATACTTTCGTAATGCATGCATTAATTTCATGCATGCAAATTAGTTTCGTGCCCTGCGCGATTTTGTGGTGAAATTAGTGTCATGCAACTAATTTCATAGTGTAAACGCGACGTTAGGGCGACGTCGACTGCTTACCTTGTATTGTGCGACAAGAATAACTCGTATTTATATAGTAAAACAGTGGGATAGTTTGTTCGTAAATTTTCCTGAATACCGTCTTAAACAATTGTTGACATGCGTTGGACTTATAATCGTTAACACAGTTAGTTCAATTTAACTAAACTTAGTTAATTAAATATCAGGGTGGCGTCGATCCATACAAATACCGGACAATAAAACATGGACGTCAAAAAAGTCTTGGAATAGTCACTCTGCCGAATTGTTAGAACCGCCCGGGGAAAGGTCTTCGCTTAGTTATTTCTTCCAAACCCCCAATATCAAGAATCCATAACGCATTTGCTCAAATCGTTATAATCTGTCGATGGTTGGTGGTGGTAGGACCTCTTGTGAGTCCGCGCGGGTAGGTACCACCCCGTATTTCTGCCGTGAAGCAGTAATGCGTTTCGGTTTGAAGAGTGGGGCAGCCGTTGTGACTATACTTGAGACCTTATATCTCAAGGTGGGTGGCGCATTTACGTTGTGGATATCTATGGGCTCCAGTAACCACTTAACACCGGGTGGGCTGTGAGATCGTCCACCCATCTAACCATCCACCCACTCATCATTTGTCACAAATTCGTGGTTCAGTACTGTATTACACTGTACTGTAGTTTTGTTTTAAAATATGTATTTATGCTTCCTAATGGTAATGACATTGTTTGTATGACATAGCATCATCTTTTTTTTATTTATTTTTTATTGCTTAGATGTGTGGACGAGCTCACAGCCCACCTGGTGTTAAGTGGTTACTGGAGCCCATAGACATCTACAACGTAAATGCGCCACCCACCTTGAGATATAAGGTCTCAAGTATAGTCACAACGGCTGCCCCACTCTTCAAACCGAAACGCATTACTGCTTCACGGCAGAAATACGGGGTGGTACCTACCCGCGCGGACTCACAAGAGGTCCTACCACCAGTAATTACGCAAATTATAATTTTGCGGGTTTGATTTTTATTACACGATGTTATTCTTTCACCGTGGAAGTCAATCGTGAACATTTGTTGAGTACGTATTTCATTAGAAAAATTGGTACCCGCCAGCGAGATTCGAACACCGGTGCATCGCTCGATACGAATGCACCGGACGTCTTATCCTTTAGGCCACGACGACTTCTATACATAACACAAACATTAATCTATTAAAGGTATATTTGGATTCCAGCTTCAGTTGGTTTACAAACAAAAAATGACATTAATGATGCAAAAACTAGACCGCATTACATCATTTCGCTTAAAACAAATATTAATTAAATATGGTTGACCTTCAAGCACTTAAAGCGGAGATTCGAATAATATAATTGTTATAAATTATCATATTATGCTCTATTTGAACAATAAAATAGTGATAACTGGCTCCAACCGGTTTTTATGGTGTTTGTTTTGCCTTAGCAGCGGTACGATATAAATACCCTCAAATATTTACTTTAAAACACACGTATATGTATAATATCTCCCAGACATGAATTAGAGAAGCTCATAATTACGGGTCGAATGGAAGGCAAGCGCGCCGTGGGCAGAACACCAGCCAGATGGTCAGATCTGGCAAGAGAAGCACTCGGTGGTAGTCTGTACCATGCAGTCCATGCCACCCATGATCGGGTGCATTGGAAGTACATCGCATGTGGTCGCGATCCTCAGTAGTGAGGGAACGATATAGAAGAAGAAGAAGAATATGTATAATAAATGTTATCAAAACCGATTTAATTAGGGTCGTCAACGGTGATAAATATTATTTGAGGAGCGCCAATGAAGGCGCTCTGAAAGCGCCCGTGTATTCGCTAGAAATATGGTGGACCTCCCTTACTTGTGATAGGACTTCTCTTACTGGTAGTAGGACCTCTTGAGTCCGCGCGGGTAGGTACCACCACCCTGCCTATTTCTGCCGTGAAGCAGTAATGCGTTTCGGTTTGAAGGTCGAGGCAGCCGTTGTAACTATACTGAGATCTTAGAACTGATATCTCAAGGTGGGTGGCGCATTTACGTCGTAGATGTCTATGGGCTCCAGTAACCACTTAACATCAGGTGCGCTGTGAGATCGTCCATCCATATAAGCAATAAAAAACAAAAAAAAATTAACGATAAAGGCTGGTATCATTTTTCCTTATTAAACAAGTGCGATAAAATAATAACTTCGTGTAATAAAAACGAGACATGGTTGGGTTTTTTGTGAGGCCGTCGCCGTATAATTGCCGGCCTCAACACAACACATTTGAGTTCATATCTCAAGATGACGAGTCTAAAAGCACCGTATACATGTTTTGGGCGATAGCGCATTTGCGTTCCCCGTTTGGGTCGGTTAGGTATTTAGCGATGGTCACGATAAAAGGATTATCGTGTCGCGCCGCTTTGTCGAAGTAGTGTTCTGACGCTACATTAATATAGTTACATACCGGTTCAGTAATATCTACAAAAGCGAGCAACGAACACATAAATACCGACAGAAAATGCTATTAAGATTTTAAAAAAAAACATGAATACAATTAAATAATCACATTTATTTCATAATTAAATAATATATCACAGTACTTTTTCTCTTCAGGGGACAACATTCAAAACATTTGCACGTTAAAATCAAAATGGCAACACAATCATTTACAAAAAAAAACACAAAACAAAAAACAAAATACTGTTAATAAATCACGAAAAAAACAAACAAAAAATTATGAACTACATATTACCCTAATAGGGAGAAGAAATAAACGAATCACAGATGGGAGATAGATGAATACGAATGAAGCATTAAGCGTGCCACACTCACCAGGACATCGTAACATCCGAAATAATACAATCTTACTATAATACGAGAATTATAATCAAAGAGTGAAAAGACATTTGGATTAAGCGACATTTCGCTTAATACGCGAAATGTTTCTTTGTAATTAAAGTTGCGTTTTATTTGGTATCGCTTTTTTTTCCTAGCTATGCTGATGGCCCTGAAAGGCAATTTCAGCTTCACGCTAACGTGTATGTGAGCTCACGGGGCTCAAACCGGAGTGTTGCTTACACTGGCCCTAGCAAGAGCAGTGCTTTCCAGAATCTATCACCGGATCGGAAAAGCGACCCACTGAGAAGATCCGGCGAGGAATTCAGTGGGTTGTGCCTATGGGTATGGTATCAGCATCAACGATTCGATGTTTTTAATTGAATTTGATTAAGTTTACCCCATTCTAATGGCTGAAGTAGTTTGTTTTTGTTATGATATTTTTTCCAAATTTGAAAGTCTAAATAGCTCTTCTGTAAAGTTTCAAAAATGTCGCTCAAATCAAATATCCTTTCACTCCTCGATAGTATTTAGTTCGTTCTCAGCGAGTTGAAGACGTAAATATTATTTTTACGACTTAATCTAGCCTTTAGTAAATTTAAGTTAATATTCCAGATGTTATAAACACATTTTTGGTCGCCACGGACGACTAAGGTGTCATGATAATCTAGAATAATCTATAAGAGAAGTTTTAACACATCAACTGCCATTTAGGTCACCGAAGTCACTGAAGTGACTACACGATATCTGTTCCTATGCTCCTGGATTGCCTAATTTTACCTTCTTTTGTTTGTTAATGTATGTTTTAGATCTATAAATAGATTGATTCTCAGTACCTTCGGAATCATCTTTCCCAGAATCTAATAGATATTACGCAGAAATTAAAATAAACTCTTCAGGGCACCGCGTAGGGCTCTGATCCTATATGACATATACCTATATGGCAGTCAAAGGGTTAAATGGGCAGATGACCCACGAAAAGCGAAGTAGGTAACACGCGAGACTTTAAGTAGCAATATTGAAATAAATTTGAACCTTATAACAAAGACGGAAGATGTAAATGAAGAAGACAAAGAAGTTAACGAAGAAATAAATAGTGAATCGCGTTGTTTAGCTTCAGGCAAACGGGCAGCTTGTTAAGTTGCTTAAAGCTTCGAACAAGCGAACCTTCTAGAAGCACTCTTGGCGCGCTGAGTCGGGATATTTCAAACACGAGTTCTAATGCTATGGAATTTAGGACAGAAAGAGAAATTGATATACAGAATGAGAGTTATTTAAAAATTGTGTCAAACTATTTAGAAAGTCAAAGCGGGAATACATTCATATGACTTATTTAATCCTTTGTTCAATTTGTGTTCTATCATTACTACAGAGCTACACCGACTATATACAGCTTTGATTTTAGTTAATTAAGACCGGATCGATGTTTGGCTCTGGTCAGGATGTTTCTGAAATACACCTGATGCTATGAATTGAAGAAATCCAATTACATTTTCAATTTGAAGTTAAAGTGACCTCAAACTTCAAGAGTTTGCAGTTGTGTCTATGCAGCATTTCGCGACATTCTAGCTACGCAGTGATGCACAAACGTGTTATACTGAATTTGGAGATAAAAGCGCCCTTAAACTTGAAGAGTTTACAATTGGATTTATACAGCATCATTCCGTAACATTCTAGCTACGCAGTGATGCACAAACGTTTAAGCAAAATGGTTAATTCTATAAATGTCTCTATATTCTACAAATCCTAAAAGAATTCCTCAGATAAAGCCGGCTTCACATCTACAATGGTAACTTTAAAATCACAGATAACGCACGCTTTACAGTATTTATCCCAATCTGTAACTGGAGTTCATTATTACGCCAATATTTATGATAAGCCAAAAATGTTGCGTATAAAGTATGGAAATTTACTGTTTACAACCGAGTTAAGTTTTAGCCATTAGCGTTTCCCTTTTTTCGATTTGCGGTGAACTTAATATTATTCAAATGTACTTTATTTAGTATCTTAAGAGTCTCGCAAGCTTGCAAGCCATAGATCTTGAGATATAGACGGGTCTCTGGTTCAATCTACCGTTACATCTTGGACTTGGAACATGGCCGTGCATTGCTTAATGGCTTTTCTTCGGAGACGCTTCTGAACTGAAGAATTTTATTAATGTTCAGTTACGAATTGAGAATTTTTATCCACGCTGCTCTTTGACAAATGCATCAGACTACGTTTTGACTTTCGTTACGTCTTCTCGTCGATCCTCTGGTCGAAGCTCTGACGGAGGCTCGTATTGAAGCTCTAGAGCTTATAGCACTCGGCATCGCCCTGATGAAGTCCTTTGTTTCCTCTCGAATCGGAGAAACCGAAGGTCTCTTCCGATATTGTTCTTGCAGGTCGTCCGATTTTGATTTTCTGAAAAAAATTCCATGTTTTTAACGAAGTTATTATTTATTTATTTATTTATAGATACAGGTATGGAGTATTGTAAGTCCGCACTAGTAGATACCAAAATCTTACCAATTTCTACCGTGCAATAGTCATACGTTTTGGTTTGAAGGTTTGTGACAGCTATTATGCAATTTAATTGAGAATTCCAACTCAAGTCTCGACTTTAGTGGCGAAATTCAAAAGGCCCTGATAGCCACTTAATACTAGGTCAAGTTTGTCTATTAGGTATGTACGTAATAAATAAATAATTAAACATGCTTTGCTAATTATCATGATTAGGTATATCTTATAGTCAAACGCTCATACCTAGGGAAGCAAGGATTGTCCCAGAACTGCTGGTCCTTGCCGAAGTCCTCTCCATCTTGCAGGGTCTGGGGCATCTCCGTGTCCATAGTCTCCGGTAGGAAAAGGCACAGCATGCCGCCCACCACGCCGAGGGCACCCAAGATCAACAGCGGTAAATCCGGTGAGATGTTAGCCTGTAATTTTAAAACAAAAATTATTAATTTAAGGCCATTCTTAATGGCTATATTCGTTAAATTGTCGTGTCATTTGTTTATAATTTTATCTGTTGCTGTTGTTTCACCGAAATCTAGGAGAGGAATCAACTAAAAATCAGAATCAAAATATAAATGATAATTTAAAGAATCGGTACCTAATTGAATTCGGGATAATTTTTAACCCGGTGGACCGTAGTAAGAACTCTTTGTCAAGTTCGACGAGTACGGCTACCGGGATCCCTAAGCCTGCTCCTAGTATTAGAGCTGAAGGCGTCTAATGCAAAGGTTATTGGATCTGATGGATCCGTAAGGACGTGTTGAGACAACGGTGATTGGCTCCTTTTTTATTTTTTATTGCTTTGATGGGTGGACGAGCTCACAGCCCACCTGGTGTTAAATGGTTACCAGAGCCCATAGAGATCTACAACGTAAATGCCGCCACCAACCTTGAGATATAAGTTCTAAGTTCTCAGTATAGTTACAACGGCTGCCCTCCCATTCAAACCGAAACGCTTACATTACTGCTTCACGGCAGAAATAGGCAGGGTGATGGTACCTACCCGTGCGGACTCACAAGACGTCCTACCACCAGTAGAACCACCAGTAGCTCCTCCGTAATCAGGAGTTGGGGAGTAGTCAGCGGCGGCAACAATAAGGTAATTATCATGGTGGTAACCAAGATAATTGAATTCGGAAGATTGATTAAGGTCGGCTATTTTGAAGGACTTCTTGATTAAAACTCACCAAATAAACCACAAACGGGGCCAGAATCGACGCAACGTAGCCCATGATGTGGATCAGAGCGACGCCCTGGGCTCTAACGACCGTGGGCAGCAGCTCAGCCGCGTACTGAAGGCCAATGTTGTATGAGATGTTCACGGCGAATCGGCCCAAGATGGCCAGAGATGCCGATGGACCTCCTATCAAAGGAATACAGAATGAAAGGTGATTTGATTTTTAACCCGCTTTTATTAGCTCGTCCTATATCTATACATCTATGTGCCAGATTTTTAAACGTAATTTTGACATACTCCAACAAGTCCGATCAACTTGAAAATTCGCACACTTCAAGGACCTATAACGACATAACAATTATTTTTTTACCGACCTCGAAACGGAGGAGGTTCTCAATTCGACTGTATGTTTTTTTTTATGTTTGTTACCACATAACTTTTGACTGGGTGAATCGATTTTGATGATTATTTTTTTTATTAGAAAGCTGACGCTTCCCGTGTGATCCCAATTTAGTCCAGTTCTGATAATGGTATCCATGAAAAAACCATATAAGTCTTAAATTTGCATTAAGTACGTGCGCGACAAAATATAGATGAATAACTCAATAACTCAATATCACGCCAACCGATTTCGATGATTATTGTTTTTAGTGTATAATTATTTGTTTTTGAATATCTTTCTTTTTCTATTTGAAGTCGGTTTTTGTTAAAGCATGTCTATTTCCAATTATTATAATACTATGATCTAATGCTTATATCAGGATCACTACGTTAAAAAACATTTATATATTTACGTAGACGTCTATGGGCTCCAGTAACCACTTAACATCAGGTGGGCTGTGAGCTCGTCCACCCATTTAAGTAATAAATAAATAATAATAATAATTAATAAATAGGAAGCCCTAGTGTTATGTTTAATACAAGAGAGCTTAGAGAGCTTGATCCTTTTTAGAATAGAATCTTTCACTCACCAACGGGAACTGCTGTGGCGAGGAGACTGAAGACTCCGCTGNTATGGGCTCCAGTAACCACTTAACATCAGGTGGGCTGTGAGCTCGTCCACCCATTTAAGTAATAAATAAATAATAATAATAATTAATAAATAGGAAGCCCTAGTGTTATGTTTAATACAAGAGAGCTTAGAGAGCTTGATCCTTTTTAGAATAGAATCTTTCACTCACCAACGGGAACTGCTGTGGCGAGGAGACTGAAAACTCCGCTGACCACCATAGAACCACATGCCAACCATCTCCTGCCCCATCTGAAAGGATATGATGGAGAGGAATTTATAAGAGACCATGTGAATTGAAAAGGTGAGTGGATGAAGAGGATATGATACAATTTGTTAATTTTGAAAAAACCGGCAACAAACTTTTGTTACTTATACATTTTCTTCGTACATAACTCTTTTATTACATGAAATTTCTAGAAATATCCTTTAAGCCCAGGGTTTTAAGGTCTAACATGGTTTATAGGTACATAACACCTTAATTCAATGTAAAAACTAAAAAATCTTTAAATTAGTACTTAAAACCCCTTCATCCAATCATGTCTCCAATTGCTTTAATAATAATCTTATTTATGGTGCTAGGATCTCTTGTGAGACCGCACGGGTAAGTATCACCACCCCGCCTATTTCTGCCGTGAAGCAGTAATGCGTTTCGGTTTGAAGGGTGGGGCAGCCGTTGTTACTATACTTGAGACCTTAGAGCTTAGATCGCATTTACGTTGTAGATTTCTATGGGTTTCAGTAACCACTTAACACTAGGTGGGCTATGAACTCGTCCACCCATCTAAGCAATAAAAAAATAATCAGCATTCGATTTCCTCCTCTCCATTCGTAGCTTTCTTCTTCTACTTTATTTCTTTCGTAATTAAAGCTACTTTCATGACTTATTGTCGCATTTATTATGGTCATTGTTTCTGGGGTTGCGAACAAATTAGTTGCTCACCTGTCAAGCACCGCCGTCAAAAACGTATCAGCCGGTAGCTCGGTGGCCGAAGCTATTGTGAACGTCAGAAATATGTCCAAGCCCAGAGAACCTACGTTCCTCACGTGACCGTCGAAGACCAAGGAAATGGCCATCCATATAACGATGAGCAAGATCGAGTTCCTTCGCAATCGCGGCGTCCTGAACAGGTCCAAGACGGAATAGGTCTTTGACTGAGATTCTGATTCCTTGATGGCTTTTATTGATGATTCCTAGAAGGAGATGGTTGTGTCAATGCACTTTTATGGCGATGCTTAAGTAAGACATAGGTTAGTGGGTGTGGCTGATCTGACTATGAACTACTGGGGAAGATTCTAAGGTACTATCACTCTATCTGCCACCAGAGCAGAGGTCATCATAATTGACGGGAAATATTAGGCTTAACATGTTTCCAAAGATTTCACTAGTCACAAGTCTACTAGAATTTTCAACAGTATTTCCTTGAGAAATATGACGTACCCTTCTTCAAAGTTTCTTCAGTATCCAAAGCACTAAAAATGGCCAACGCATTACTCATGGCGATAACTACTTACATTTGGAGAGCCATGAAATTCTTTCGAAGGCTATATAAATTACTTTTCCACCATTGATCGTAATCCTAGTAGCATTTTTCTGTACATTCCCCTATCCCTAAAAGCTAATATCTATACATATTTAGGATCTATACCTTAGCACCAAATGCACGCGAAGCGACAATTTAGAACAGGTACGATCAATTTAGAAATCAAGATACGATCAATTTAGAAATCAGATCAATGTAGATCAATACAGAACAGGACACAGGCGAGGAATGCGGAAGAAGGCCCAGATACAGAAGTACAATGTGCTGGTCGGACCAGATGCGTTCTAAACCCAACACCTCAAGGTTATGATGCTAATCTACGAAGCCGATAATAGATTCAATTAGCTTAAGATAGTCGTAGTAGATTATCGACACTATGAGAAGGGGATGGGGGAGTTGGACCTCATATTCCAAAGTAAGTGGCGACATTCCCGAAACAATATTAATGAACTATTGCAAAATGCCAACAGGATACATACACATAGTACAAATTTGTCTACCTACCGTGAATTCACTTAGGACCTTCTCAGGTATTTTAGTCTTGTTGATCCTTTCGAATTTCTTCATTATAAACAAGGCTTTGTTTATTTTTCCTTGTGAGACCAGCCATCTGGAAAAATCGCATTTATAGGCATTTAATATACCAAGTGGCAACAGATTCCGTGGAGAACAACACTGGATTGCCATTTTTTAAACTCGATGTTTGTGAAATTTTGAAGACTGAAAGCCTTTAAATGGGAACGTATTGAGGCTTCGAAGAAGGAATAGAAAGGGAGGTGGTAACCCATCGATGTAAATGTTAATCAAAATGCTCTGTTTGGAATCGAAACTGGCTCAATGCGTATTTCAAAGAACGTTATAGCTATTGTTTGGAATTGGCTAAAAGGCTCCCAGCAACTATCCACACGAAACACTTGTCTAAACCCAAAACCAGAACGCCTTCTTCTTTCCTTGGAAAGATGTGCTTTCAGGCCAAAAAATGTATATTTGGCGATCTTCAGGGTTACAGAGTCAGAGGATATTATCGAGAAATACAGCGATAGTTGCAACCCGCGCTTTATCAATGTTCTTTTATGATTGAGGCGTTACTGGTGACCCGGAGGCCTTTCCAGTTTCAAAAGGACAAGTGGGCGAGTAAGGGCTCAGCCAGAAGGAATGAGATTTTCAAACATCTACCCGAGTGCTTCCAAAGGAGACCTTACAACTCAAGAGTAAGTGCTTCGCGAATTCATCTCCTACGGATAGGAATCGCGACCCGCTGAGAAGATCCGACGAGAAACTCAGCAGGCTGAAGCTTAAGTTAAGTTGCACATCTTCTCTGCTCTTTGCCAAGTTAAAAAAATACGGTTACCGGAGTCCCTAACCCTGCTTCTAGTGTTAGAGCTAAAGGCGTCTAATGCAAGGGTTATTGGATTTGACGGATTCGTAAAGACGTGATTATCAATGTCTATAGCACCCACTCGTGCATACGGATTCCCATTTATTCCCGGCTGAGATCAGCCAATGGCAGGAAAATGTACCTTGCGCTTTCCGGGACGAGCCAGGGTGTTGCAATAGCAATGATGAAAGGTGCAGATGTGACCAGTGCGAATGTCCGCCAGTCGTCTGCCCACAGCGCGATCCAGGGTAGCAGAGAAGCAGCCAAAGTGAAGAACAACGCTATGGACATGTTGGCCACAAACGTCCTCCATTTTGGGCCGACGTACTCTAGAACTGAATTCAGAAGTTTGCATTGTGGTGGAACGTATAGTAGGTTCACAAGGCTGTCGCCATTCCACCATGTTTGATGGATAGGACAGCCATTTCACAATTATACGGGTCCAATAAGAGCCGACACCTGGTTTTTTGGACGGTGGATAAGCTCAGAGCCCACGTGGTGTTAAGTGGTTAACGGGTCACCCGCTTAGAGAAATAAATTGGCATGACTGCTTCCCGGCAAAAATAGGCAGAGCGGTGGTAATTACCCGTGCGGGCTCACAAGACGTCCTATCACCAGTAAAAAAGCTCCGCGTCTCAAGATAGCCCCATTAACATGTGATGTCTATGAGCTCTGGTAAATCAATGGCTATTTCGATGAAAATCTGAAAGAGATTGTTTTTATTGATAAGTTGTACTTCTTCTGATTTAGGTAAATTTACAAGAAGAGTGTCAATCTTCAATACAGGGTTCGAAGTTGGTGGACAGCTTCAAATATTTCCGGGGCAAACATTCTTAGGCCACATTCGCGAGTACCTTACGTACCGATCCGACCCGGATATTCGGGATTTTAGCCTCTGTACAGTAATTTACTGGTGGTAAGACCTCTTGTGAGACCACGCGGGTAGGTACCACCACCCCGCCTATTTCTGCCGTGAAGCAATAATGCGTTTCGGTTTGAAGGGCGGGGCAGCCGTTGTAACTATACTGAGACCTTGGAACCTACATCTCAAGGTGGGTGGTGGCATTTACGTTGTACATGTCTATGGGCTCCAATAGCCACTTAATACCAGGTGGGCCATTGTCCAGTCATCTAAGCAATGAGAATAATAACAACACAATTAGTTCGTGCGTAATCGATATGTCTTTCACTACAGACTGTGTATCTCTTATATATTGCCTTATAGGCAGACGAGCACCCACCTGATAGTGAGTGGTTACGGTCGCCCAAGGACATCAACAACCCATGGACAGAGCCAGCCTACTGCCCACCGTTAAGTACTCTTCACAAAACGTAGTATGATGTAACGAACTCATGAATCATCAATGAACAGAAAATTTTCCGTGATTTATAAAATATTACTACAACGTCGCCTTGACCGAAACCGCCGCGGACTTCTCACATAACAATAGTTAATCTACAATGTTTATCAGTAATCGTAAACGTGAGAATGACCGATGACCTTTTTCCTGAAACATTAGGCTGCTATGACAGACTTCATCATGACATAAACGAAACTCCGACCTCTTAGTCCGAAGGTTAATAGCGCTTGCTACAAAGTTATATTACAAATCAAATAACACTTATAGCAACGTATAGGGAAATCAAAGCGAACAAGATTCGTCAAACTTCAATATAAATAAATAAATAACTGGGAACAAATCACGTACAGTCATAGGACCCTAATTCAGGATACCCTGTGTGCCAGAGACTGATAGGCATACTTATAATAATATAGGCTTAAATATATACATATATGAAGTCGTCGTGGCCTAAAGGATAAGACGTCCGGTGCATTCGTATCGAGCGATGCACTGGTGTTCGAATCTCGCTGGCGGGTACCAATTTTTCTAATGAAATACGTACTCAACAAATGTTCACGATTGACTTCCACGGTGAAGGAATAACATCGTACAATAAAAATCAAACCCGCAAAATTATAATTTGCGTAATTACTGGTGGTAGGACCTCTTGTGAGTCCGCACGGGTAGGTACCACCGCCCCGCCTATTTTTGCCGTGAAGCAGTAATGCGTTTCGGTTTGAAGGGTGGGGCAGCCGTTGTGACAATACTGAGACCTTAGAACTATATCTCAAGGTGTGTGGCGCATTTACGTTGTAGATGTCTATGGGCTCCAGTAACCACTTAACACCAGGTGGGCTGTGAGCTCGTCCACACATCTAAGCAATAAAAAAATAAAAAAAACATATATAGATAGCTAGAGGACCCGCCAGACGTTGTCCTGCAAAAAAATATTCAAATCGATCCAGCCGTTCAGGAGGAGTTCATTGACATACACACGTCCTATACAATATATATGTATAAAAATTAATTGCTGTTCGTTAGTCTCGCTAAAACTCGAGAGCGCCTGGACCGATTTTTTTTTTTTTTTTTCCACAGGAGAAAATCGCCGGATCCCCACCCGCGCGGCAGGTGGGGTATGTGGGAGTTGAACCTCACTAAAAACTCCTGCCGCTCACAACCGGCGCCCTACCTCGGACCGGGCCGGAGCCCAGTCGGGGCTATTGAAACGGCGGGACAGGGTTGACGCAGAGCACATTACATCCATCCCACCGTCCCACGGACGCCGGACCGGTGGCCGCCAGCGAAACGACCACCGGTTCCCTCGTTCAGCGGGCCGAGAGCCCGCTTTGATGGCGCCGCGTTACACCTTCCCCCAGAGCGGTCGGGGGAACGCGGTCTACCATCACCCGGCTTCCTATTGCGGGTGAGCGTGCAGAGCACGCCACCCCTCGTCTGGGTCCCTCCCCGCACAAAACGGGTGGGACCCCTAGCTCTTAGGGGGCCAGGTCACGGATACGACCCCGGTCCCGACCCCCTGCTCGGCGGCGGCGGGTTTCTGCGTAGTGAGGAGAGCTTTCCCTCACTCGCCCCGCCGCCTCCTTCTGCGAGATGGTGCACTCGCAGAAGTCGAGCATAGCCTTCCATGACTCATCGCTGCCAAGCATCGACGCCACGACGCCAGGCAGCGACAAGTCAGGTCCTATCTTTGCGACCAGGACACGGCGCTGCACCTCCCAAGCGGGGCAGACAGCGAGCGTATGCTCCGCCGTGTCCAGGTCGTGTCCACAATGGTGACACCTCGTCGTCGGCTCAGCCCCTATCCGGCGCAGGTACTTCCCGAAGCATCCGTGCCCGGTCAGCACCTGCACCAGACGAAAGGTGAGACGTCCTTCGCCACGATTCACCCAGTCATCAAAGAGCCTGGACCGATTTGGCTAATTTTGGTATTGAATTATTTGTGGAAGTCCAGAGAAGGTTTAAAAAGTTAGATAAATATGAAAATGCTCGGGATTATATAAAAACAAACAATTTTGTTTTGCCTTTGATGTGTCCCCCGTCGGACGGATTCCTTTTGTTTGTTTTAAAATTATTTTATACAAAAACTTAGGTCTTTTATTTATCGATTGAGGCACTAAGAAGTCTGCCGGGTGAGCTAGTTTTATATATAAAGAAGATAATCATCTAGACAAATTTGTCCGATGTGGGTATCGAACCCACGACCCTCGGCACAACAGTCAGAGCCGCTAACTACCGCACCATCGAGTCAGTCAATATAATAGATGTGATAAAAAGCGTCTCAGAGGAAACGGTAATAGTTTCGCGTTTATTATTTCATTACATTACTTCCGACGCTTCAAATACAGTTTTCATGGTCACGGATGTTCACGGATGACTGAGGTAAATACTAGTTAAGATTCGGTTGTGTCCATGATGTTTAGTAAGTTGACTGCGGGATAATTTTTTGAGGGACTCTCAGCTAGTGCGTACCAGGTCTTTTTGTGACAATATTGGGACTTCTTTACAGCACGCATGAGACCTGATAAACCTTAAAAAAATCCGTCTTTGAATAAACACATACCAGTAGAAATAGTGACCTCCTGTATCGAAAGAAAGAATGTGGTTTTAACTGCCACACCAGAATAATTGGGCACGATACTTTTTAAGCCGCATAACGCAGTTAACCTATTAAAAAGTTATACTACCCTCCGAACTCAGGAAGCGATTTTGAGAAGCGTCTATCCTTTCTTGGGTCAGTGACGTAATGGAAATAAAGACTAGTGCCAATGAAACACATACCTAAGATGTACATCATGGTGAAGCAGTTGTCGAAGGCCAGCCCCACCAGGAACCGGCACAGCGCGAACGACCAGAAGCTGTTGCAGAAGGCAGTCGCAACGCCGGCGACGAACCCAATCAAATTCGTGCCTGTAATGATAATTGGTTTATTACTATTATTATTTTTATTTTTATTACTTAGAAGGGTGGACGAGCTCACAGCCCACCTGGTTGTTAAATTGTTACTGGAGCCCATAGGCATCTACGACGTAAATGCGCCACCAACCTACCCGTGCGGACTCACAAGAGGTCCTACCACCAGTAAAAGTCCCTGTCTACCTTTGTAAACCTTTGTAAACACGATAATTCGTTAGGCATAGTTCTGGAGACGGGCGCAAACAAACAGAAATAAGTTTCAAATTTCCGATATATTTTGTCCATTATTCTTTAGATATCGATTCCTATTTTTATTACTCTTCTTCAATACACAGACACACCCTACTCCACTATTTTACTATACGTATCGATTAATGTTGATCACTAAATGATTTATTATATTTAGCATCGACATGTTAGTCAATAATCATTTTACCAACCATTTTATATTTAAATTGAGAGAAATTCGTATTTTATATGCCAATTAGCCAATCGCTTACCAACTAAAGCTGGTATTCTTCCATATTTATCCGCGATCCAGCCGAACACAAGTCCGCCCACGATGGCGCCGCAGAAGAAGATAGCCTGGGCAGTGGCCGCCAGATTGTCTTTCTCGCACACCCAGTCCAGCTGAAAGGGGAGAAAGAGAATTTAGACCACTTTAAACTTTCAATACAGCTGTTCCACAAATACCAAGCTATGCCGAATGTCCTGAAGTGGCTAGCTATATTGGAGCACTGGTATTCGTATTCTGCCCTTCATGAAGCTAAGGATCGCAGCAGATGGAGGGAAATCGTACGGGAGAAACTGATGCAGCGGGGCAGTCACGACCCTCAGTAATGAGGAAAATGACGCGAGGAGGAGAAGGAGGAAGAGATATTCGTTCACTCCAGCATCATAATTTCATCAAGTAGTTCCTGAAGTCAGATGTTCCGGTACACCAATTAAAACGGCTGCTTCCTGAGTCACGGATCCTATCATAACAATTTAGATACGGGTGTGTAGTATTGTGAGAACACACGAGTATGTGCTATGACCCTGCTTATTCTTCTGCCCCTAAGCTGTTATGCGCTTTGGTTCGAATGCCGGGGCAGGATTTCCATGTCCCATGTTATATGGGACTATATACCAGTGGTGGACTGCCTTGCGAGGCCACAGTGGTGTTTAATTCTGCAGTGAAACAATAATGCGTTTCGGTTTAAAGGGTAGGGCAGCTATTGTTCAGTAGAACTGAGACTTAGAATTCTTGTCTTAAGTTTGGTAGTGGCATTTACGTTGTTGATGCCTATGGGTACTAATGGCACATCAACTTGGCCGAGAGACCGTCTATTAATTTATAGCAACTTATGTTGCCACAATAAAATCTCACCTGTGAAGCGATTGTGTCGTAAGGAACATCGCTCTTGTTGTACTCCCAGCCTTTATCGCATGGGACGATCTGCCATTCATCATCTGGTGTCGTTCTGCCTTCAGCCAAAGCTTTAGCCCAGTCGGTTGAGAACATGTGGCACCTGTCATGGGCGAATGGGCCGTCCGTTTTGGGTGGTATCGCCAACGCTCGCCTGAAACAAGGAGAATTATTTTGGGATTTATGATTCAAAAAGAGATCTCTTTGAATTATCGAAGGCGGAGCTTGGCCTTTAGGAATCGCAACCCTTCGGCCCCATAGGTATTGAGGCTGAAAGAATACGAAACTAAGAATGGACTTGTTTCTAATACAACCTATAATCTTTAAAAATCATCACGGCAAAAGATATACTGGTGTAATTCTGGGCCATTATACAACAGAATCCTCTAAAGATATTCCATCTCAACATCGGGCATTGTACATGTACATACATCAAGATATATATTGATCTCTTTCTTAAATCATTTTTTATTTATTTATTGCTTAGATGGGTGGTCGAGCTCACAGCCCACCTGGTGTTAAGTGGTTACTGAAGCCCATAGACATTTACAAAGCAAATGCGCCATCCACCTTGAGATGTAAGTTCTAAGGTCTCAGTATAGCTACAACGGCTGCCCCACCCTTCAAGCCGAAACATATTATTGCTTCACGGCAAAAATAGGCGGGGTGGTGGTACCTACCCGTGTGGACTCACATGAGGTCAAACCACCAGTAAAAAATATATTGTAGTAGCTCTTTATTGCTTTTTCATGGACTCGGAACTGCGCAGAGAGCTATAACCACTTTAGTTCGTTTGTCACGACATCTTAAAAACTCATTGTTGTACACAAATGATTATTGTGTTATTTTTTTGTGTTTTTTTCTTCGCTCACGACGCGACGATTGAGTATTGAATTGTTTTTTTTTTTTCGTACATTTCATTTTGTTAACGAAATGAGCTAAGGTATTCGCAAAAATAACTGGTCAGATCCTAATAAAATTTTAATGGGACCGCATGAGAAAGACCAGGCTTCCAAATAAAAATCTATTCATTTTCTTTTGGTTTCGGTGCTTTTTAGAAAAGACCTTAAATGAAGTGTACCCCATTGAAATACCTGAACAAGTTTTCTGGTTTTCGAATATATTTTTTTCCAAATTTTAAACTTTAAATGGCTCTTCTGTAAAGTTGCAAAAATGTCGCTTAAACAAAATAACTTTTCACCCCTCAATGTGTGTGTTACTTCAATATTTCTTTCCAAGGGAACTGAATTTGTTGGTTATTTTCTCATTTTAAACCTAGTTTTATTTATTTTTTATTTATTTATTGAATAGATGGGTGGACGAGCTCACAGCCCACCTTGTGTTAAATGGTTACCACAGTCCATAGACATCTATAACGTAAATTCCACTACCCACCTTGAGATATATGAGTTCTAAGGCCGAGAATTTGTAATCGTAGGCGCTGATTCCGCGCCGCGTCAGTGTCGCATTATTCAGAATACAACTGTCGTACTTAACCGAAATTCTAATAGCATTTAAGTCTGTTCGCACGGCTCGTTACCACGGGGTCAGGGCAAGGATTGGCACGTACCAATCTTAGGGCCGATTCACACTGATGTAGCATTAGAAACATTAATGAATAGGCGGGTGAATGTACCAGGTCTATGTACTGCTAAGTTTTTTTAATTTTTTTTTTCCTAGATGGGTGGACGAGCTCACAGTCCAGGTTACTGGAGCCTATAGACATCTACAACGTAAATGCGCCACCCACCTTGAGATATAAGTTCTAAGGTCTTAAGTATAGTTACAACGGCTGCCCCATCCTTCAAATCCTGCCTTCACGGCAGAAATAGGCAGGGCGGTGGTACCTATCCGTGCGGACTTAAGAGTTTCGTAACCACTTAACACTAGGTGGGCTGTGAGCTCATCCACCAATCTAAACAATAAAAAAATAAACGTGATATGATAACATCTCGATGTTTGTATTGCACGCAATGGAACACAATTATAAATCGGCTGTCGCGGAGGGTCAACGGTCTCAATGGAGTGCGGAGTTCGCTTTACATGGCAGCGTTCAGAAATGCGTTCACCCACTAAAACGCGATCGCGATTTCGATCTATATGCGCTGAGGAATTGTTTTAACCATTGGGGCTAAGATTGGGCGGCTCTGCATCTGCCGATATTACTTCCACCTACCACACGATTTTGGAAGTACCTATCTCTTTTTGTTTTTTTAAAGGCTTATGCCATTTTTCAAACACAGTTTGCTTAGAGTACTTAGACATACAAAGACTTGCCCTTGGCATTGCTGATGTCCATGAGCAACAGTAATCGCTCATTAAATGGGCGTTTTATCTGCCTTCCAAAGCAATAGATAATTTTGTCAATATACTTGAAAGCAGCAATATATTATCCATAATGTGTCCACAAATGTCGAATGGTAGATATGGCTCTCCTTCAAGCCATTAAGCCTTACTTCGGATCCTTTTCTAGTGAATTACTAGACTAAGCCCTTATCTAATGCCAATAACGCTCCAAGCCAAGATCTCGTGTAGAAAAATAACCGGAAATACTTTTTTCTTTTAGTAACTCGCCGGAATGACCTTGGTATCTAGTTGAGCACGAATTATTTGACCTCTGCATTGTAAGCCGACCTTAAGTGCAAAGGTCGGAGAGTGTGTTAACCTTAGTTTTTGTGTGAACACTGCTTTATCTGGTGTTTATTGTATATATTAAGTAAGGGAGTTTGAGTTAATTTGCCTAATTCTACTGTGAGGCATTGAAGGGTGGGGCAGCCGTTTAATTTTAAAAACTAATGACTAACTCATTTCTCAAGGCGGTCTTCTTACCCGATCCTGTAGACCGAATGGTAAACAGTCGACCTCGCCCTAAGCACGTCATTACGGATCCTCCCGATCCGTTAACGGTGCTTTTAGGTACCTCAAGCACCGGTCATCGTTCTCGTCGAACCCGTCACTTGCGACGAAAGGCTCGACGAGTAAATTAACCCATAGACACAGTCCACTGAGTTTCTCGCCGGATCTTCTAAGTGGGTCGCGTTTCCGATCCGGTGGTACATTCTGCGAAGCGCTGCTCGTGCTAGGGTCAGTGTTAGCAACACTCCCGGTTTGAGCCGCGTGAGCTCTCCTACTAGCTCGGTGAATCTAGAATAACCCGTCGAGGTTATACTAGAATAGGTAGGAAAAAGAGGCAATCGGTATTTGCATTATTAATGTCTATAGGCTCCGATAACCACTTAACATTAAATGGGCCGTCATTTCGACTACTAATCTAATCAATAAAATAGCTATTAAGTCATGAATTTGATTCCCGATCCAGGAAACATTTTTTTGCTCTATGTTTAACATAACGAGGGGTGAAAAGCTATTTGATTTATGGGTTTTTTCGGTTTAAGTTTATACATATGTGTGTGTTTGTTTCAAATACATGGTAAGTAGTGTGTGTAATGTTTTTTTTAATTGATTTAATGTATTTTAAATGCTTAATTTCAAAAATATTTTAACATTCTGCAGTCCTTCTCTATATTCTCTATAAGTGGCCCGCTCCGACTCCGCTCGGGTCTTTAACAAAAACTTCAACGATATTTGAAATTGTTTTATTTTTTTAAATAAAAGAACACTTATTGCGGCATAACTATAATAGCTACTATTATATATATACTACCATATAGATACTAATAGATATATAGATACTAATAGACACTTTTTGTAAGTAACAATGTGTTCTACAAAGTCGTAGTACATTATTTTATTCTATCATCCATAGTTTTCGCAGGGCACGCGATGTAAAGAATAATTTAGGTAATTTTTTTACACCTTGGGTTCTTTTTTTTTTATTGCTTAGATGGATGGACGAGCTCACAGCTCACCTGATGTTAAGTGGTTACTGGAGCCCATAGACATCTACAACGTAAATGCGCCACCCACCTCGAGATATTAGTTCTTAGATCTCAGTATAGTTACAACGGCTACGCCACCCTTCGAACCGAAACGCATTACTGCTTCACGGCGGAAATAGGCGGGGTGGTGGTACCTACCCGTGCGGACTCCCAAGAGGTCCTACCACCAGTGATAAAAGTGGGTTACATCATTGGAGTTTTAGTAAGGATCCCTAATTTTTTTTCAAACAAGATTATAGCCTATGTCACTCGGGAATAGTGTAGCTTCCAAATAGTGAAATAAATTTTCAAATCGGTTCAGTAGTTTCGGAGCCTATTCAATACAAACAAACAAACACATCTTTCCTCATAGTTTCGGAGCCTATTCAATACAAACAAACAAACACATTTTTTTTTATTGCTTCGATGTGTGGACGAGCTCACAGCCCACCTGGTTTTAAGTGGCTACTGGAGCCCATATACATCTACAACGTAAATGCGTCACACACCTTGAGATATAGTTCTAAGGTCTCAGTATTGTCACAACGGCTGCTTCACCCTTCAAACCGAAACGCATTACTGCTTCACAGCAGGAATAGGCGGGACATCTTATAATAACATCGCAGACAGAACATCTTATAATATTAGTATAGATAAGTGTGGGTTTCATACTCTTCCGTCCGTGCAATTTTCGTAAAAGATGATTCGTTTAATTATTTTATACTGAGTCATTATTTTTCTACTAAATCACGAACACAAAAGAGGCATATAGCAGAATGAACTTCATTCTGATCGGGCGTCCGTGAAACCCCACTTTTTCTATAATTATCATCCAAGAAGTTTTCTTAACCGGAATTTCCCTAACCGCATTTCGAATCGTACGACCGATGTTATTTCTCAAAACTGTCACAAAAGAATCGTGCTGGATAGATACGGTCAATTGATAAAAAAGGTTATACAGAATTCGGATGCTGCAAAAACCGATCGGCTAATCCTATTACGTCAGCATTAAGATGTACGCAATTGTGTTATTTTACTTTTTTTAACAGACTTCAAAAAAGGAGGCGCTTCTCAATTCGACTGTATGTTTTGTTACCTCATAACTTTTGACTGGGTGAATCGACTTTGATGATTCTTTTTTTATTAGAAAGCTGACGTTTCCCGTGCACTCCCATATCAATTTAGTCCAGTTTTCATAATGTTATCCACGAGAAAATCATATAAGTCTTAAATTTACATTAAGTACGTGCGCGATAAATAGATGAATAACTCAATAACTCAATATCACGCCAACAGATTTTGATGATTATTGTTTTTAGTGTATATTCATTTTTTTATCTCTATTATTCTGTCTATTTACAATTATTATTTTATTTTACGCTATCCCGTCCAACAAAAATAATGATTGATCAACAAGAACGCGCTTTTGTTGGTCGCACGTTTTTTTTTAGTATCATCTCGATAGCAATAAAGTTTTTCAAAATTTTAAAAACAATGAAACAATCAAAAAATGTTAAGCATAGGTACGAGACGTCGTAAATAATTTACTTTAGATAGCGGGTTGGCTTTGCCTATGTCATTGCTGGTGTCCATAGGCGACGCTAACCACTCACCATCAGGTGTATGTTCGTCTGCCTATAGAGGCAATTAAAAAAACCTGAACTTATCCTTTGAGCCAAGACTTTTAAAACACAAAAGGAACCTAAAAGTTATCTCTTGAACACGCTCGGGAATAAACATTAGGAATATTCAATTAAACGATGCTATGGTAGATATACGTGACAGGATCTGGTGGTGGGACCTCTTGTGAGTCCGCAGGGGTAGGTACCACCACCCCGCCTATTTCTGCCGTGAAGCAATGCGTTTCGGTTTGAAGGGCGGTGCAGCTGTTGTAACTATACTGAGACCTTAGAAGTTATATCTCAAGGCAAGTGGCGCATTTACGTTGTAGATGTCTATGGGCTCCAGTAACCACTTAATACCAGGTGCGCTGTGAGCTCGTCTACCCATCTAAGCAATAAAAAAGATGTGTCGTGGGACACCGGATAGGAACGAAGTTCCTTATTATAAAAATATTAATTTTAAGTTCTATTCGAGGTATAAAGAAAATAAAACTGGAGATTTCGCAACAACCCACGGTCATTCGGTAACGTGCAAACTTATTGTGGTACACTTCAATCACGGTTGTTTGCATAAATAAGAGTTAGTGTATTGCGCAAACGAACACTCTGAGATCGTGGTCAATGAATGATAAAAAAATATGTTATTTTTTGTACGTTATTAAAAAGTTAAGTCGTACACTGTGTGCATTACTAATAAAAATCTTACGTTACGGACGTTTTTTCCCGGTTAGGCTACCCCTCCGCATGGTCCCATAAGGACCTTCGTTCCAAAAAAAAGAATCATACATAGTTCTTCGGAAACCTTCCCGTGGAACCTCTTACACGCATCAGACAATAATTAAGAATCAAACACGTGCATAACAGTCAAAACGGTGTAAGGAACGCGGAAACAACACCAGAGATATGATCTTTTTGACAGCAACACACGTTGAGCGTGTAGCTACAAAAAAAATGCTTAAAACACGCCTGTCATAGGACAAGATATTAGAAAATTAAATCAGGCTAATTATAACGTGAATGGAATATATGAAGTCGAAGGGAGTTAATTACACGAAAATCCACAAATTAGACCTAGATTAGTTTTGAATGTCACTTAGTCAGTAAGTATCTACAGTCGGCATCATTGCGCCACTTCGAGAAGGCGGCACGACATGAGAACCCTCTTGTCGTGGCCGCTGGAAATTACATACCTGATCCTGCGGACCGAATGGTAAATAGTCGACGTCGCCCAAAACACGTCATTACGGATACTCCCGTTCCATTAACGGTGCTTTTAGATACCACAAGCACCGGTCACCGTCCTTGCCGAACCCGACGCTTGCAAGGGCTCGACGAGTGAATTAACCCATCGACGCAGCCCACTGAGTTTCTCGCCGGTTCTTCTCAGTGGGTCGCGTTTCCGATCCGGTGGTAGATTCTGCGAAGCACTGCTCTTGCTAGGTGTTAGCTACACTTCCGGTATGAACCCCGTGAGCTCACCCACATGTTAGGGCGAAGCTGAACTAGCCTTTCAAGGCTATCAGCATAAGCAAAAAAAAACACACACACAAGAAGTACTTTTGAAGTCTTTAAAGACTTTTGAAATCGTCGTGGCCTAAAGGATAAGACGTCCGGTGCATTCGTATCAAGCGATGCGACGGTATCCGAATCCCATAATATTTTCTAATAAAATACGTACATAACAAATGTTCACGACTAACTTGCACTGTGAAGAAGTAACATCGTGTAATAAATATGAAACCCGCAAAATTATAATTTGCGTAATTACTGGTGGTAGGACGACTTGTGAGCTCGTCCAACCAACCAAGCAATAAAAAAGAAAAAAAAATTCGTTACCTATTTTAAAATTTTTACACTCGCGCCATAACCCTAATAGCATTATCATCATCATCATATCAGCCTGTCCACTGTTGAACATAGGCCTCTCCAATGCGGCCAATCCAGTGCGGCCGATCCGTCCTGCATTTGACGCGACCCAGCGATTTTCAGCAGGTCGTCTATCCATCGGATGGGTGGTCGTCCCACACTGCGCTTGCCAATACGTGGTCCCCCCTCGAGTATATTAACATGGAATTAATTTATACGCAGATCGCGATCACGGAAGCATTCCTAATCGAAACTAAAAGATTTTTTGCGGTAATTACATAAATTACAACATAATATTTCGACCTTGTTATTTAAAAGTTCTTAATTCTTTGTTGTTCGTTTGGTCTATTTTAAATTTTCGTCGTATGCATGCGTGCTTCTAACATAATGTATGAAGGTATTTAATTTTAGGATTGCTAGACCGCGCGATCTTGGGCCGCTGTTTTTAACAAGCATTAACAAAAAAGGTGGGTTTTTTTTTTCATGACGGCTAAAGTTGCGCAGCTAGAATTCTTCCGCATTTAAAATTCCTGCTCACAAAAAAACATCCAGAATTATATTGGGAGATGAAAGACTATTCGGTTTACGCGTCATTTATATTTGTAACTAGCGACCCGCCCTCGCTTCGTTTCGGAAACATTAAATTTTATTATTGATAGCTGAGTCCCGCGATGTTGTGTCCCGTCGTACCGCGGGTGACGCCGCGGGGCGAATTTAGTCTAAAATAAGTAAAGCCTAAGTTATTCTTTATATCATCAGCTACCAATCAGTGAAAGTCCCGTCATAATCGGTCCAGCCGTTCCAGAGATTAGCCGGAACAAACAGACAGACAGACAGACAGATAGACAGACAGAGAAAAATTGTAAAAAATGCTATTTTGGTGTATGTACCGTATATATATATTAATATGCATGTAGTAAAAAGCGTTTATTTCAATATTACAAACAGACACACCAATTTTTTTATACGTATAGATTTATAGATTAAAAGTTCATTTTATTTGGTATTAGCATCAACAGTTCAATGTTTAGAATTGAGCTTCAATTAAGCTTACTCTATTCGAATAGCTGAAAAAGCTATTTTTTGTTATGAAAACGTATTGTTACCAAATTTTAAACTTTAAATGGCTCTGCTGTAAAGTTGCAAAAATGTCGCTCAAGCCGAAAAGCACCCCTCGATATGTTCATTTTTTTATTGCTTAGTTAGGTGGATGAGCTCACAGCCCACCTGGTATTAAGCGGTTACTTGAGCCCATAGACATCTACAGCGTAAATGCGTCACCCACCTTGAGATATAAGTTCTAAGGTCTCAGTATAGTTACAACGGCTACCCCGCCCTTCGAAACGCATTACTGCTTCACGGCAGAAATAGGCAGGGTGGTGGTGCCTACCCATGCGGACTCACAAGAGGTCCTACCACCAGTAATTACGCAAATTATAATTTTGCGGGTTTCATTTTTATTACACGATGTTATTCCTTCACCGTGTAAGTCAATCGTGAACATTTGTTAAGTACGTACTTCATCAGAAAAATTGGTACCCGCCTGCGGGATTCGAACACTGGTACATCGCTAGATACGAATGCACCGGACGTCTTATCCTTTAGGCCACGATGACTTTAAATGGCTCTCCTGTAAAGTCGCAAAAATGTCGTTTAAGCCGATTAGCATTTCATCCCTCGTTATGTTAAATACATACCGTTCTTCCGCTGTTAGGTTTGCCAGCTCAGGTACCCAGCACCAGTGTTGCTCCGGCGTTAGGGTCATGAATATTTGCGAGAAATAAACGAAGGCAACGAAAAACGCAAAAGGGATCATGAGCATGAACAGAATCTTCTGGTACAGTCCAAATTCTCCGACATGCGGCAATAGGTCATCGAAATCCGTCTCCTTCTTCGGTTTTTCGTTGTTGTTATTGTTGGCAGCACTCTCTGCGTTTTTCGGTATGGCAACATTATCGGAACTGTCATTTTGATAGGCGCTGTTAACGTAACTCCCGCCCAAATTGACGTTTTGCAAGTCCTTCGACGAGTCCGGATGGCTCTCTTCTTCGGCCACATAAGGGGTACGTTCTTGGGGTGCCATTTTTAAAAAAATCTGCGCATAATCTTTTCGAATGATAAATTTCTCTGAAACAAACGAAAAAATATTTTTAGAAGGAACGTTATCAAATAATTATGGAACTAGAAAGAATTTAACAAATAGACTAATCAAACTTGTAATATCCTAATGCACAATCCCTATCTCTTTAACTGACTCGGTGGAGTAGTTAGCGGCCCTTACTGTTGCGCCATGGGTCGCGGGTTCGATTCACACATCGGGTCAACATTCTCTGATGAAGAGGTTTGCTTACTCTTCGCCTGATTATTCATTATCTATCTTTATATATATACTAGCTGTACTCACTGGGCAGGGCATTTAAAATTAACATTATTATTTATTGCCACTATTATTAGGGAGTCCAACACTCATATAAATATTAGCCTATCCATTAAGTACATGTATTTTCTACATGGATACCAAGTTTTAAACCAATCGGATGTGTGGTTCAGTAGTTATAACGGAACATCCGTAAAATAATAATAGCTTATGTTGCAAGCTAAATTTCTTTTTACTTGTATTTTTATGTATCTTTTTAGCTTGTGATGTGTATTGTGTGCCCAATAAATAAATAAAAACACTGTAGATTTATATCTATATCTTTATATATAAAAAATAATTACTGTTCGTTAGTCTCGCTAAAACTCGAGAACGGCTGGAACGATTTGGTTAATTTTAAACCTTCTGGTTTATAAGGTAAATTAATATGAAAATGCTCGGAACTAAATAAAAATAACAATTTTGTTTTCCCTTTGATGTGGCCCCCGTCGGACGGATTCCTTTTGTTTGTTTTAAGTTTATTTTATCCAAAAGTTTAGGTCTTTTATTTATCGATTGAGGCGCTACGAAGTCTGCTGGGTCAGCTAGTATTAGTATAGATTTCTTCTGTGCGTGTGTTTGTCACTGAACTTCTCCTAAACGGCTGGACCCATTTGAATGTTTTTTTTTGTATGCGTTTGGGTGGCGCCCTGGATGGTTTAGATTCACAAATCAGCCCGGCAGATCGCGCTGCAGTCGGTATCTAGGTTATTTATCTTTCCTAGAAATAATTTATATGGCAAAACAACGTTTGCCGGGTCAGCTAGTATACGTATATATTTAATAGGTTGGGGAAAAAGTCTTTTCGCATTATAGTATGTATGAACTTATATTAAAATCTCTTTGGCTATACTATTTGTATCTGGCTGGTTTTGGTATCATTAAAAGTTTAAATTTTAAAGAAAAGCGATAGCATATGTCTGTATGTTAAGGTTGGCTCACTATAACGTTTTTTATGCTAACCAAATTTGTTCTAAAATAAAGCATTATTTGTGAATTTAGAAAGTCGTCGTGGCCTAACGGATAACACGTCCGGTGCATTCGTGTTGAAGCGATGCACCGGTGTTCGAATCCCGCAGGCGGGTACCAATTTTTCTAATGAAATACGTACTCAACAAATGTTCACGATTGACTTCCACGGTGAAGAAATAACATCGTGTAATAAAAATGAAACCCTCTTGTGAGTCCGCGCGGGTGGGTACCATCACCCTGCCTATTTCTGCCGTGAAGCAGTAATGCGTTTCGGTTTGAAGGGTCGGGCAGCCGTTGTAACTATACTTGAGACCTTAGAACTTGTATCTCAAGGTGGGTGGCGCATTTACGTTGTGTATGTCTATGGGCTCCAGTAACCACTTAACACTAGGTGGGCTGTGAGCTCGTCCACCCATCTAAGCAATAAAAAATAAAGAATTATTCCACGCGGACGAAGTCGCGGGCAAAAGCCATAAATAATATTGTACTAAATCCTTTTATCGAGTTCCAAAGTCTCGCGTATTATTTCATCAGCCGGTTTTCCTTTATAACAGAATCAATAGGTTCTCTGTTAGTCGTTGTTCAACCGATCTAACCGCGTTCCTTGATCTTGTTCTAACATTCATTTCGTAATTTACTTAGTATTCATACACCGCACTATAATGTAACGTGATGTTGTAATGAGATTTTTTTTACCTTGCTGTCTTCGTTTTAACCATTATTATCATTTTGACCTTATCATGACTTACTGGTAGTAGGACGTGTTATGAGTCCGCGCGGGTAGGTACCCCCGCCGCACCTATTTCTGCCCGTGGAGCAGTAATGCGTTTCAGTTTGAAGGGTGGGGCAGCCGTTGTAACTTTACTTAGACCTTAGAACTTATATCTCACGGTGGGTGGCGCATTTACGCTTTCAAATTACGCCATTTGGAGCTACAAAAGCTATTCAAGAAAATTTTATGCCAACTTTCAAGGTTAGTATATTGAAAAACAATTAACTTTTACCAAACACCTGTCTGTTTGCAAAATACGTTGGCAGGCTTCAATTGAAATTGTGTATCAATTGAAAGGGCGTAAAGTACATTGTAGCTCTACGAATTACCAGAAACGGCCAGAAATAACTAGGCAATAGATAGGGGATAGAGGAATGGCGGTACTGACAAAATATTTCAAGAGCCACGTGGTAGAACCTAATGATAGCAATTCGCTACACAATCACTACATAGTATAAAACAAAATCGCTTTCTCTGTCCCTATATCCCTATGTATGCTTAAATCTTTAAAACTACGCAACGGATTTTGATGCGGTTTTTTTTGATAGACAGAGTGATTAATGAGGAACGTTTATATGTATAATCCTCCTCCTACTCCGTGCGTCGTATTCCTCAGTGGTGAGGGTCGTGACCTTTACGGATCACTTTTGTTAGGACTATGTTCTTCCATTCACTCCTGTCCTCCTGATTATAATAATATGTATAATAACATCCATTAAATAGTGGTGAAATACTGTTATTTTTGAGGTTTCTAATGTGATGTCGTAAATAATCAATAATAAAATTTCATGTTTCCAAAGCGAAGCGAGGGCGGGTCGCTAGTCTTTAACAAATATACCTACTGCGGTTGTTTGAAATTTAAGGCATGTGGTTTATATCAGACTAGTCAGATTCAGCTCGCCTTGTTGCCTTACTTAGATCAAATCGCTGCCAATCTGAACACACGCTAGATTAATATCTTATCTTATATCTTATACCTTTAAACGAGCAATTCTTGTATATTTACATATATACCTAGTCAGGTCATAAATTCTGTCACATGTTTAATGTAAAATAATTGAAACAAGTTTATTCATTATGTAACCATTCATATACCAAAATGAACTTAACAAAACATAGATTCTTATGACACTAAAGTTTATTCAAAATGACCTCCGTGATTTTGAATACAGGCCTTCAATCTGCGCGGCTAGTCGTCTATCGCAGCACGAACGAGGTCTATGTCAATATCGGCGGCTGCCTTAACCAAGGATGTCTTGAGTGACTCCAAATTGGGATAAGGCTTTGAGCACGCCTTTTCGTCCAAGTGTTGCCATATCTTGTAATCTAACGGATTCAAATCTGGACTGGAGGAGGGCCAGTCTTCGTGCCGGATGAAGTCGATTTCACGCGCCGCCAGCCAGTCTTGTGTGCTCTTCGCTCTATGAGCTGGCGCCGAATCTTGTTGGAATACCCAGTGCCTGTTATTGAACATGGTATGAGAAACAGGTTCCACAAGGTTCGTCAGGACTGTATTTTGATACACAACTGCATTCGTTTTTACACCTTTCTCACAAAAATGTACCTCTGTTAAGCCCCAATAAGAAACTCCCAACCATACCATGAGCGAGGATGGAAAATGACCTCGTTGGACACGCGGAATACGGTTGCTCGCTTCTTCACTACTGTGTGCGTACACCTTATCATTTTGTTTGTTGTAGCTCTCTTCTACGGTAAAAATTTTTTCATCCGAAAAAAGAATTTCCCGATATTTTTTTCCCGCGTACCGCTTCAACAAAGCGCGGCATCTCTTCAGTCTCAGGTCCATTAGACGAGCATTCAAACGATGTCCTGTTTTTCTTCGATATGCCCGAAGCCCTAAGTCTTCATTTAACACCCTTTTCACCGTGGTTCTGCTTAACCCCATCTGAAGGGCCAACAGTTTCTGCTTACGTTTGGGATTTCTTTGAATTCGCGCCTTCACAGCTTTTATCACTGCTGGAGTCCTAACAGACCGAGGGCGACCACTTCTTGACCTGTCATCTACACTAGAGTCTTCATTGTATCGTTTAATGGTACGATAAACGAATCTTTTGGTTATATTCAAATTTTTCAGTATGTTAAAAATTTGAATTGGCGCGTAACCGCAACGATGCAACGCAATAACTGCAACACGGTCTTCTTTAAGCGTCCACTCCATATTTAAAAATGAGTAAAAGTCTAAAAGTATACATTTTTATTTTCATGAACAATTCGAAATTCGAATTCAATAAACTTTTTTGTGGCCAGCATTCTAAAAGAAAAGTTTTTACTGTGTGACAATACTTATGACCTGACTAGGTATATAATCTGAATCTCGGAAACCGCTCCAACGATTTTCAAAAAATTTAGTATACAGGGGATTTCGGGGGCGATAAATCGATCTAGCAACGATTTATTTTCATAAAATGTTGTTTTATTCGTGTTTTCAATAATCAACTTTATTGACAATCAACTCTGACTCTTCCCGACATCTATTGGCGAATAATAATACTATTTTTCATAATTTTAACTAACTGCTTTAAAGACACAATAACACTAAAGCTATTTTCGGTCACCGTTCTCGTCGAACCCGTCGCTTGCGACGAAGAGCTCGACGAGTAAATTAACCCTCAGACACAGCCCACTGAGTTTCTCGCCGGATCTTCTCAGTGGGTCGCGTTTCCGATCCGGTGGTAGATTCTGCGAAGCACGGCTCTTGCTAGGGTTCGTGTTAGCAACGTCGTCAGGTTTGAGCCAGTGAGATCACCTACTAGTTAAGGTTCCGCTGATATAGCCTCTCAAGGTTATCAGCTTAGGTAGGAAAAAAAAAAGCTATTTCAGCAGATGGCTGAAATACGGTCATCGGTCGGACGGTCGGTCATCGTCTAGTAATTATTACTTAGGAATCTCATCAAAGTCGGTCCACTTGTTTCAGAACCAATAAGGAACGAGATGTCCGGTGCATTC